GGCAGGCAGGCACACACACACACACACATGCATACACACCCATGCATGCATACATGATGTGCGTATGCATCTCTCGGCTTACAGGGTCTGGTAAAGTCGCTTCATGAACGCCTGTCTTGCCGACATCACGGCCTCGCGGAGTCCAGGGACTTGCGTCATCAAAGACGGAAGGAACTGCCCTGTCTTCCCAAGGCCTACGCGATGCGGCGATAGAGCCAAGCAGTCTTCGACAAAGAGGCTGAGCTTTGAACCTGGGATCTCTTCCACGAACTTTTCCAAAGGAACGGCCTGCAGGCTTCAGATTCAGCGCCACCAGCCACACTCCAGCTGATCTCGAAACGAGCCTGGCCACTTTGGCTCATCTGCTGATGGACTCTCTTCAGCACCTGCGGGTGCGGGGGGACTGGAAGCCCGAAGATTGGAAGCTTCCTTTGTAGTACGTTCGCTCTTGTCTCAGCACGCCATGAAACTGCAGGCTGCATCTTCGACATCAGAATCGTCTCGTGCCCTCCGTGCTCAGGAAGTCCCTGGCAGGCCGCAAGGTCTGTTCCGCGAAAACTCAAAAGGGTCTGCACTGCAGACTTATGGGAAGGCCTGCAGCTGTCATAGGCTTGGAAGAAGCCGCCGAGCTCCTGCGGAGTACGCGACACGCACAGCAGCTCCGACCGACTAAAAGGGTGAGGACTGATAAGGATGCAGTCCGAAGTCGCCTGGGACGGAGCAGCTTTGCCAGGCGGAGCTTCTTGAGTCGTCCATGATGCAGGCCTTCTATTGTTCGTGCAAGCTGCATCCAAGCATGCTGCAGAGAAACCAGGAAATCCGTGGATACGCCCATGCCCGAGGCCAGCACTCCTCGGCATCCTCCAACATGAGCCAACTTTGGAAGACACCCAAATTGCGACCTCGCGACAAAGTCCTGTGCAGGCCTGTGCAGCCTTGAGCCCTTAACATCAGCCCAAGTCCCACTTCCCCAAATCGGAACCCCGTAGGCTTGTGACCTTCTGCATATTCCACATGTAGACCACCTTCCCTATCTGGAAGCGCTGCCCCGGACCAGTCATCCTGAAAGGCTTTTCGCATGGCAGCATGGCGTAACTTGCCAACGGTTGTTACATCTGAGCCGAAGACTGCTGCGAAGCAGAAGCCTGCATCCGTCGGCTCCTAGCTCACGCAGCAGAGGAGACATTGACCATGATTTCAACGAAGCCTGGGTCCCTCGCACTCCGTCGTCGAAGCAGTTCCCCCACAGTTTCTGGAAGAACAATGACCCAGCGGACCTCGGTAGACCGATGCATACGATGAGCCAAACACAACTGGCAACGACAAAGCGAGGTCCGTGGAGGCTGCGGATTCTGTGGACCGTCTGCGTGGCAACGGCAAAATAGGCTTAAACGAGGCACGTGAGGCCTCCTGAGACCAAGGCTTTGCCGGGGAAGTGATGCAAAGCGTTGCGGAGGGCCAATCGACTCGCTGCCTTGCGAAAACTCTGGAGCCAGACCAAAAGCAGATTACAGTGTATTCCACAAGTTGCCCAGCGACTTTTTGTTTGGTTGGACACCTGTGTCTGCCTGGTTAGAATCCCTCGCTGCAGCGACTTTGACAAGCTGCGCCTGCAGATGGCAATCATCCGCAATCACGCTGGCTCGCCGATTTGCGGCACGCCGCAACCACTCTGGCAGCTCCTCGCAAAGACAAGGCGAAGCTGGGGCCACTGTCGGCTTGGACGACGTGCGACCAAAGCACAGATGCCAGAAGATCACGGGCACGGCGGAAAGTCCAGGCCTTCGCTTGTGTCGTTGGCTAAGGTGGCGCGGGCTTCAAGACCTTCCGCGCTTTTGAACATCACTTGCCTCGCTGGGCTTTCGGCTTTCAGCCTGCGACGCCAGGGCCGGAAGACTTGAATCTTCATCTTGCTCTGTTCGCTCTGTGAGGCACCTCCTCTGGAGTGCTGAAGGCTTTCAGCAAGCGCTCCGCAAGGAGTCTGCGACCCTGAAACGAACGTGGCTTCAGAAGCTTCAAGGGTCTTACATGTCAACGCTTTACCGTCTCGCGGCCTCGTTCCCAAGCGCATCGGAGCCAGACTCCACCAGGGACATCTGGGCCGGACTTCCACCCTTCGGTTCAGGCCCTGAAACCTGCAGCCACGAGGTGTGCATGCCGAGCCCGAGCCCTACATGGCCTACGACTGATCGACTCCATGGTGCGAGAGCTGACTTTCTGAAACTGAGCCCTGTCATTCAATCTCACTGGCTCCAACATCATTGTAGACTTCCGAGACTGCGCTTGTGTATGCACTGAACTGCAGGGGTGTCTCGCCCCATATAGTTCAATTAATTCCTTCCAGTTCCCAGTCTATCCGCTGCCTGGAGTAGCCTGATAGTAGTTGTAGCCGTATAGTAACTGTAGTAACATCCCCCTGATCCTGAACACGGGGTTTACACGAGGGCAATTCACCCTCTGTACCTGCTTCTACCTTCCATTGCCGCTGAAAGGGAATAGTCTTGTGCCTCCTGTTCCGTTTCGGCTGAACAAGTATCGACTGGTTCGAAAACAACCCTCTTGTTGTAGTTCGTGTCGATGTTAGCTTTGTTTTGCTCGGACCGAGCGCAACTCACCCTGTCACTGAGGCTGCATCCTGCCCAAACAAAGTGATGCGAAACTTTCTAGCGTGACGATGTGGGCTGACATTGGGGTAGCTTCATGCGACAGCAGGCAAAAGCGACCACTGCCAAAATGGACCCATGAATGAGTGCAACCAAGAGCTATGTATGTCAGCTGAGCACTGTCGCCTCGGAGCAGAAGGTGGCTCGGTGATGCAACCACTCAGCACCGAGAACCTCTGAGGCGGATCAAGCACAGCACAGCAAAGCCTGCAAATATCGGAAGCGAACTTGAGCCACCTGCTAACTGCCAGAACTGCCTTAAGAGTCTCGCATACTTTTTCTCAAAAATTAGCATCCCTGAGACGCATCTTACGCTTGGTTTAGCTGCACCCGTAAGACTTACTTTGGCCTGGCCTGGAAGGTTTTGCCTTCCGCGTGCTGCCGGGCCCAGGTGGATTTGCCAGCGCCCGGAGGTCCACACAAAATCACCGCCTGACTGAGGGAAAAGAGAGCTCCCATGGAGCCGCCCCAAACCAAACATCTCAAAACAAACCCTCACAGACCTTCTGAAGCAAGCCCCCGGCATCCCGTAGAACCTTCCAACCCCCAAAAGCCTCCGAGATTGGAGCACATGGCGGACGTTGCGCCGGGCGCATATCAAGCAGCCTGAGTAGTGACATCACCCGGAAGTCTTCAGACTCTTCCGTGCACGTCCATGATGTACTACCATGTTTGGCGGGCAGCTCCACTTCCACACCAGCCCTCAGGGCGAAGAACGGATAGTAGGCCTCGATCGAGCCAACTCAAAGCCACATTGCATTACAAACCTGGCAGCATCGACACCTTGCATCCCGACTGACTTGACGGAGAACAGCCTGACTCTCATCAATCCCTTAGTCCGAAATCTCCTAACACGCACATGCAGCTGTTGGGCTTCTGGCCGTGTCCCGGAGCCGCTGTGAAGCGTGGCTTCCACGACCTGCTGCGTCTTTTCGTACAGGAAGCCGCTTGGCCTCAGGAGCAGCTAAGCGACTCGCGCAAGACAAGAGGGAGAAGCTCAACTTCTGCAGCGCGCCTCGCCCTCTACCTTCTCATCGCCTGGATATGGCAATTTGTCTCGAGCTTTATCCAAGCCTCGTATAACTTCAGAAGGCCTCATAAACCAGAAGCAGCGTCCACGCGAGACCGTGAGAAGACCCTTCCCGGCCTTCGAGGCGAAAACAGAGTCGTCGCAGGTCGAGGTCCATGACTACTTCGATGAGATCGTGAACCTGCCGACTGTCAGCTGCTGTCGTCGACACTATAGACCAAGTCAGAAAAGAAACACTGTCGCGCAGCGAAACAGAGTGACTGTAGACCACCATGAACCCAGAAACGGAGGGACAAGGCCACGGAGGAAAGTAGCAAACAAATGAGGTAAGACGAACAGATCAGTCTTGATCAAGGCAGAGTAAAGGGAGCCGAGTATGGGTCAGTCAGATGTAGATAGGTAAGTAGAGAGATGACCAGGTAGATAAAGACACAACAACCAGCAGTCATGCAGCTGTTCCGGCTTTTAGAGCAGCCTTTAGCTTTAAGCTTTGAAAGCCCTGAAGCCCTAAGCCTCTAGCCCTAAACCTTAAGCCAAAACTCTAAAGCCCTAACCTAAACTCTAAAGCCCTAAGCCCTAAACCTGTTCAGCCCCGAGCCCTAAAGCCCTTACGTGCCCCGGTCCTTTTGGGTTTAGACTGCTGTAGTCTTGGCTCCATTAAATCTCATACAATCCTAACTCCCCTCTAATGCTCTTAAATAACTGTCAAATTCGCGGGTCAGGGAGTTTTAGTATTCGGGGAGGCTACACTAGTTAGGGAGAAGGGATTCGCTGATTAGCTCGTCTGTCTTTTATCCCTCCCCACCCTGCCTTCAAGGCACGTGGCAACAACGGAGCTCGGAGCAGGGCTGAGGAAAGATTCGAGGAAAAGAGCTGCTCTCCGGTGTCCTTACGGCCACAGCCACAGACAACTTGTGTGCACGAAGAGAGGGAGGGAGGGAGGGAGGGAGGGAGGGAGGGAGGAGAGAGGGAGAGAGAGAGAGGTACCTCGCAGAAATGACGATTTGTACTCGCTTCACTGAAAACGGCATCGATAAGACCAAGAGACCGTGAGCAGGGCCAGGGCCGGCTGTTGCGCTGAGGAGCCCTGCATTTGGATTTGGGGTTGCTATGCCGGCTTCAATAAAAAGCCCCAAGAAGAAGGAGAAGAGGCCAGAAGAAGAGGCATCAAGTTTCATCAAGTCTCCGGGCCTCTGGGCTGGGCATCGGATGGCAGCCTGGCCACTGGGCCAGGACCCCAAAGAGGAGCGCGACAGAAGTCGAAGCGGTGGAAGCCGAGGGAAGTCGGAGAATGCGAAGCCTCCATTTCTGCCGGCCCTGATACGCTGCATGCGCTCCTCGGCCCAATGCCCAGACCTCGGGCGTGGCTGTTTTCACCACCAAGCCGCGTCCACTGCAGGGGATCTCCTCCAACAGCAGGTCACTCAAGGACCAGTCCAAGGCCAAAGCCGTAGCCGCACCGGCGCCTTCTGTGCTTGGGGTTTCCGGCGGTGGTATGCCGGTGCGCACTTGCTCGCCGTCGCAGGAGGCTTCCTCTGTGTCCTCCTCTTCGCTCTCTTCCGGGTCGAAGGCGAGGAAGCCGTCATTAACGGCCTCGTCGGCCTCTTCTGCGAGGCGCTTGGGCCCGCGTTTTCTCGGGCTGTCCATCGGCTTCTCTGCAGGCAGTGCAGCCTGGTCGACCTGTGGCCGCAGATCTCCATGAGCTCTGGCACATCAAGGAAAGCCATGGAAGCGAAGTGCACCGGCAGCTAGGAGCCACTCAGGCTGAATTCCTACAGTTTGGATAAACACTTCAGCAAGATGTTAGTGAACCTGCGCATGCGAGATGGCTCTGTTGGATCGGGCTCTGCAAGTGTAGTCTCAGATAGCTTCAACTTTCGCCTCTGATTCTCACATACACACACACACACACATCACTCGTTGCATCAGGTGCAGATCATGACTGATTGTTTTGTTCTCAGCTCTAGTGTGCAGACAGCAGTGCCGGGCACAGGAAGAAGGGCACCGTCTTCACGTTCCTTTCCAGGACTTCGCGGCATCGCCGCAGCTGGGTTCCTGCCTGAGTCGAAGCTCTCGCCTCCTCTGCAGTGACTGCAATGGCCAGCAACAAACATTTGGCTCGTGGCCTGCGTGAGCTCAAACTTCTTCATGAAGTCTGCCGCTTGCTTCCTAGGACAGACACAGCTCTGCTGCAGCAATTCTATGCGATCTGTGTGCTAGCAAGGCACGTGAGAGCAATCGGCGCCAGGTCGGGATTCTTCAACATCATCTGTCAGAGCAGTCTGTCAGCGGTCTGAGTCCCAGGTTGGAGACCACTCATGTCCCTTCGCTTTGTGCGACTCGCACCCTTGTGCGGCCTCCTCACTTGGCACATTCATCTCGGAGATCGCGCTCTCCAAACGCCTTTTCGCCATCATCCAGTTCGCCTGGGAGTTGCAAGGGACACACTGAAGGGAGTCGCTGCAGGACTCTTCGAATCACGCTCCCATGCCTTCTTCAGCTCGCAGAGGCCGCAGCCTGCACCGACAGCCGCAAATTCCTCAGATCCCTCTCTCTGAAGAGACCCTGCCCCTGCCTAGGAGAGTGCGAGCTCGATAGCTGGAGGCGCTGGAGTCGCCTGGCAGCTTGCAGCCATGTCGCAGAACAAGCCGGGACTCTGTGTGGCCTTTCCCAGCCATTGCTTTCAGCAGCTTCTGCGAAGGCAAGGGGGATCGAATCACGCGAGTGGCTCTTGAAAAGGAACGGTGTAAACAGTTCGTTTGCCGAGCCTCGCGGCTTTCGCAAGCTGCATCACTGTGTGGGTTCTCATCATTTTCTATGTCGTTGAAGAGATCCTGGTCACGGCCACGCCCAAGCTCAATTCGAGCAAGTTCAATCTCACGTCTCACACCAGAATGGCTACTGCAAACATTGGCGCACCCCGCGCAATGCTTCCGTTTTCAGCATGACCCACCGCGACATCAGACAGAGATAAAGCTCACCCCCGGCCTTTCCATCATCATCCAGCCATTTAGGTGCTTCCATTTTCTGCCTGTCCGCAGCATGAAGCTCTGGAGAAAGGCAATCAAACGTCAATGTCCCAGGCTTTTGTGCTGCTGAGTCGCGGCCTCTGCCCCTCAGGATCAAGGAGTAAATAGCCAGCCCGAGCCCAGGCAAAACCCCACGACATGTTTGTGAGCTCCTGGGCACTTGCCAGGGTGAAGACGAAGGGTGCCGGAAGCAGCCATGCCTGGGAACAGAATCGCATCTGGAGCTCAGAAACACGAGGAGTCTGCCGGGTTCCGTACCAGATTGCGCATGTCCCTTCCCCTTGGGCGGGCCCGTTGCACTCCTACGGCTCTTGCCCTGAAACAAACAGCTGAGGCACAGCTGTGTTGCCTTCTTGTGTACATGATAGATCAGAGTCCCTGCCTCAGCATGCAACCCAGCAATTGTAATTCCCCAATACCCTGACGCAAGACAGGAGCCTCGAAATTGCAGTCCCGCAATAGGGGCAAAACAATACCCGACAAGTTGACAGAGCAAAAAATCCTGCAAATTGTAATTCCCCAATAGCTTGACACAAGACAGGAAACTCGAAATTGCACACCCCCAATAGCTTGGGGCAAAACGAAACCCTGCCACTTGCAATTCCCCAGTAGTTTGAAACAAGACAGGAGCCTCGAAATTGTAATCCCGCAGTAGCTTGGGGCAAAACGCCACCTTGCTAAGTGCAACTCCCCAATAGCTTGATGCAAACCAGTAGGAAATGATTATAATGCAGCAATTTACAGTATTCGCAACCCACAAAGACGAGCCAACGTTAGCAAATGAGACCGGGGACCGCCGGCGTTAGGAAAAAAAACCTTCCGCTGGAAAGGACTCTTACCACAGAACTGTTATGGACAGTATACCAAAAAAATCGAAACACATACTTGCTGGATTCACGAGGAAGGTTTCCTTGCAAACCTGCGAGGCGACCAACCAAACAAACAACAACACAAGCAAGCGCCAAAACCACCAAGTAGCCACAAGCTCGTACTCGGTCAAATGCGATATGACTGATTTAACGTGATCCACCAAATCCATAAAATTGCCATGCCAAACAAGGCTGCAAACCGTGCTATGACGATTGTTTCCCTGCGCGACACAGCAATCTGACTCAAAGATCACATCCCGTGGTGCACAGACACGACTTCGCTCCTTTTGCACTCAGTCTCAAGTAGTGGCCGGTGTTTGTCAAGGTGCGATTGGCTCGCGAAAGATCGCTACAGCAAGATGCTTTCTAGTGCTCACGTGTGCTATTCGTGCAGTCAGCCATCCCCAAGTACCTTTCCCAACGCCGTCCTATGCACTTAGCAGGACGTGACATATCACTATACTGTAGTCCCACCACAGATCAAGATGTCGGGAGTTTCCGGAATCAGCTGACAAGGTCAGGCTGCAATCTGCACATGCAGTGAAACGCTTGCAAGCTGCAACTCTCAAAATGGTTGAAGCGGGCTGCTCTCTATAGACCTCCTCTCACCGGGATTTGAGGGAAAAAGCTCGATCTCACGCCTGCCGAGTTCAATCAGCGGCCGAGGATCGTTGCGCAGCCCGGCGGAATGACCAGCCTTCTCGTTGATAACACCAATCAACCACTGCATGCCATCCTCCAATCCACTTCCGTCCTTTGCACTGCACGCCTTGCCGAGCAACGTTGTGCCAAAGGTTGCTAAAGTGGCTGCAAATCGCATGCTTCGAGTCTGAATCTGCCTGGATCGTCCAGGTACGGTCAGAGATGCTGGCCTGGTAAGTTGATACTCCAGCTACTATCAAGCGGCCCGACTCCATCCCAGCGTGCCAAATCGAGCGCTGCCGCGATCTCATCGGCTGGAGTCGCCTTGCAGGTGATGCAATCACAATGAGCTGGCGTGATCAGCTGTGACATGCCAGGCCTGAAGAAGATCCTGCTTATTGGCAAACACCAGCAAAGGAATTCCTCCAAGCCTACAGACCAATGAACGCACAACGCGCTCGGCTGCGAAAACAGCACGCCCAAGAGCGAGCATCACGCAAGCAAACACACTCATCGTGCTCAGTGACGGGCTTGTCTTCAGCAAGAAGTTCACGCAGTTCCTGCGGAACACGAGACACAAAGGCCACCACCGAAAACAACTGCAATCAACCGCTTGCTCAAACACGGCCTGTCCGCTCTCCTCAAGCCGTCTCCGGTCAGAACCTCGGCGGGGGGATGTGGAAGCTTCTGTCACCTGCTCCTGCTCTTTCACGGGAAGCTTTTCTGAGAGATGCACTGTCAATCACGTAGACCAGTGCATCTGAGGACTCGAAGTAGTTGCTCCAGTACCTGTTCCGTAGTAGAATTACAATGCGGAAAAACGAAGAAAACCATCCGTCAGACACACAAAGCGGCCCACGGGCGAATGGTCTTCTGGCCACCGATGTCCCACACGTTCAACTTGAAACCTGGGTGCAGACAGTCCATACACAGTGAATGTGAAGCCTCCTGTGGCAGGGGCCGTCTTGCACCAGGCTCTTGATGTTGAAACCCTGTGCTCTTGCCCAGAAATGCATCAAGACAAACTCCAGGGCCCTAGAGGCTTGCCTGGGTTGGCATGATGTGGCTGATGTCCTCCTGCGACCTGAGCAGAGTTTGTCAAAGGTTCCAAGGCAATCAAAAGAACACCAGCGACAGGAAGAAACCAAGAGCAGCTACCGGTCCGCTGTCTTTTTCTGCTTCTGCCGCTGCCGCAATCTCGAGGCGACGACGACAAAGACCAGCAAGACAAACAAGAAGAAGAAGAAGAGTACCATGACGAGAACCACGGTCAGCAGGTGCACGTGCCGACTACAGTGATCGCAGCACCTACCACTGCCATTACCATCCTATTACATCGACATCGACGACGACTACTACTGCTTCATGCTGCTCCTGCTCCCGCTGCTACTGCCTAGGTCATTCAGATGAAACAATCGCCGCCACCACCACCAACAACAGCAACAGCAACACCAGAAACACCGGCAACAACGACAATCAGCAAAACACAAACTCTCCACCACGATTCCCGACCGTCACCACTACTTCCTTACGCCAGCACCGCCTCCGCTGCTACTACGACGACGATGTTCACAAGGGTGATGCGCCGTCGGGCAGCGTCGACGAGCTGCAAGGACCCCGGCAAGGTCTTCAAGATTGTGGTCTTGCCCGCGTTGTCTAAGCCCAGCATCAAGATGCGGGCCTGGAGCTTCCAAGTGGCGGAAGATGCGGTTCGTGAAGTTTGCACACACGCCTCTCTCTCATCCTTCTTCATCTTCTTCAAGATGTTCAGCAGGCCCATCCTAGAGACCGGAGACTGCGTCCAAGAAGGTTGCACACGCCACTAGGACTTTTCTTTACTGAACCGTGCCCAGCAATGCCGGTCCTGTCAAACCTGCGCGAGCAGCCCTCTCAGAATGCCGGATGCGGTGTGTATACTTTGCTGAGCCAGAATTTCCATGGACAGGATGCAATGCTCGATGCTTGCGTGTTATTTACAGCGACACGCAAGAGCACAGAACTTGTCGAGCTTATATGCTTCTAGGACCGAGCGGTGTTGAAGCGTTGCGTAGAACACCTGATCTGTACAGCGATTTGGCCTCGCGTTCTGCCTTTGGCAGCGCCGGCCATCAAGTGTCCTCTTGATCCTCTCGTCGGTGAGTTGGGGAACTGAACGTTTTACGTCAGCATTCGGCCAAGCGATAGCGAGTCACGCAGCCCTCCCGCAAATCCAGATCTAGCTATTGGGGCTTTCCATCCCCATGGTCGACATGCACATGGCTGCAAACTCCGTCTCGCGCGGATTCCTGGGTGAGTCCACGGAGTCCTCAAACTGCTCCCGCTTCCCGGGCCAGGTGGCACAGATCAGGTCAATCCCGGCATCCTCAGACCTCCGGTGCCGGTAGCGCTCGTAGCGCAGGTTGCGCGCCAGGCGCTGCACGAAGCGCTCGATCCCGTCGTAGCTACGGCGCCTCAAGGAGATGATCGCAATACCATCGGGAGACATCACACTTTCGATCGTCTCAACAAGCTCTTCCCAGCTTTCGCCGTAAGCAGGCTCGCACACACAGTCAGAGCATAGCACGATGTCTGCAAGGCTCGGGAAGCCGTCTGGCCGAATGACTTGGTTTGGAATCAACTTTTCTTCTCGCCTAACCTTCACGGGTTTCAAAGCCCGCTCGTTACCTGATAGCTCCAATGCGGCAGACTCCAAGTCATCCAGCCGCCTCATCAGGTTTAGAGCCTCCTGAGCTTCCCATCGCAAAGGAACGACGATGATTGTGCCGCTGCCGAAAGCACCAGCGTGGGAGCGCTGTGCTGGTGGCCGTAGCTCCGTCTTAACAAGGAGAGGTCGATTGCCATAAGGTCGCACGAGTTGGACCCAGCCCTCCTTGGGACCAAACCCTGTCAGTCGACGGTAGCGCAGCAAGTTCAAGTCTTTTCGGAGCTCCAGCTCCTCCACCAAGGCGTCCTGAGATAAGCGCTCCTTCTCGATCTTCCCTCCGCGCTCCTTGGTCGCTGGGATGCCTTCTGAGCCACCACCCACGACCCGCCAGACGGCTTGGGGCCAGCCATTTGCAGCACTGTTCTGCTCCATGTCCTCGATGTTTGATGGGAGGTCTGTGGCCACCACACGTGCGCCCAAGGCCGCACAGACGAGGCTCGGCAAGCCGATGCCGCAGCCCAGCTCCAAAACCCGGCAACCCGCCCGCAACCAACTCCGATGATTCTCGATCACCTGATCACACACGGCCACACTTGGACCCCAGTCCGAGAAGGAGGAGCCCAAAGGAAGCTGCCGCAGGATCCGAAGCACGTGGTTCTGCGCCACAGGGATCTCGCAGAGCAGCTCAGGGGGCTCCTAACGACTTCTGCTACCCCGCAAACGACTTACTATGCACTATGGCTCGAGGTTTCGCGGCTGCCTGAGAATCTTAGAAAGCTGGCACTAGAAGCTTGCTCCTCGTCTTGAAGCTCGCCCTGGCTCTCAATTTGCTCCAAAGTCCTCGCGTTCTGCTCGGCAAGGTCCTTCTGAGCCTCCCCCCAGCGAAAGAAGAGGTGCGAGGAAGGGCTGGTCGTCGGTGGCGTGATCAGCTTCCCGCTGCGGTCCCGGGGTAACCTCTGAACCTCGCTGGCTCCCATGCGAGCGCGGGGCTCCTTGGAGCCCAGCCTTTCCTTGGACATTCGCTCAGATCGGCTGGAAGCTTTCGCCCGCCATGCGCAGAAACTGCAGGGCAGGGGCACTGCAGGGCCTTACTGAGTAGGAAGGAGTAGGAGTGAGTAGTGTGTGACCGGGGCTCAGGGAGAGGTTCCGTGAAACACGGTGGGGCTGGGCTCTCACTGCGATATGACCACTCGTCAATTTTCCCCTGTGAAGATGAAAGCAACTAATGACCGTCGCAGCGCTGCCTTGGATTCTCGCTTGCGCATCGTCTGGCAGCAGCCTTTTTCGATGCGCGGCATCTACCGGATGACTGCCGGGACAATCTGAGATGAGCTCTTGATTTCCGATTTTTTTGCTGGTTTCGACACAGCTTTTTGCTTGCCCTGGCAACATCCGGCATTCGCACGACTGTCCGAGACAGCCGTCGAGTCTCCCATAACTGCCGGAGGTCAAGCTCACTTTGAAGAGTGGCTCAAGAAGGCTCAAGCCGTAAGCGCTCAGGAAAAGATGGCCCGATTATATAGGCGATCGAGCTTCTCCACCAGCAGTAATCCCGGCACAGCATTCACCCCTGCTGTGATCCCGAATTGGGGCAGCATAGCCCGCTGGCAGCACGCTAAACGCGCACGGTCCCTCCCTACGCGAAGACGAGTTATCTAGCTCTGCCCGCTTTCAGTCACCAGACTTGAACATGTCAGGAGAGCGATCAGGTTGGCTGCACAAACGGACCTCATCCAAACACAAAACGGACGGTTTTCGTTGGCCTGGGCCTGGAAACACTAAGCTGGGAGCGTGGTGAAGGCATTGCCCGCAAGATCGCCGAGCAACTTCTGCGGGAAGTCCGTGTCCTTGAGGTCCTCCGCAAATTCAACCGAAAAAGAAGAATGGAACCTTAGGAATGTAGAGGCTAAGGACAGCTTCCTCTGCGAAGATGCCCTGCAGCGCGAGCTTCTCGATGCCAAGCACCCAGCGCTTCCGACTCGAGTGCCAAAGAATCCCTGGAAAGCCAAGCTACTTGCTGTCATGCTCCTGTCGCTCACTCGTTGCGCTACAAGCACAGTCGCAAGGCCAAAGCATCACACCCCATCAGGCCCTATCACCTTCAAAACTGAGCTCATCGGAAATACGAGCTTTCTGTCGGCCTGGGAGGATGCAAGTCGCGTAGTTTTGTCGGTCTTTTCGGATCCTCACTCCTGAATAGCAGACGGCAGGCGGTGCAGACTCTTTGGAGTTAAGGGACTGGATCTCTAACAATCACAGTCACAGACGAGGGGAACGGAGACGAGAGCGAGAGCAGCAGGAAGAGGAAAGGGCATTTCGAATTCACATTCAACGACACCTAACGGGTGTTACCATTAACACAATTATAAACATCAACATCAACCAACTATAATAACAAAAAATATACAAGACAGTAGCAAAGCTGGCGCCTGGCACACGCTCCACGCTTTGGGAGAGTTCCCAGAGCATAGGGAATGCACGGGGGTCCTGCATTACTGCATTGCTCACCCTTAGCTAAGCCTTAGCAGCCTTAGCAATCTTGTCTGACAGCATTCCAATGTAAGCACCATGGGGGGCCTTACCCTGATCGTTCATGACATCCAGACCTCCAAGTACAAGTACGCATCTCAACACGGAGGAAAGGCAAAGAAGACGGGGGCCAAGCATTTCAAGTTCAAGAGCTCCTTCTCGCGGTCGTTCAAGACCTCGCCAACATGACTCAAGCGAAGGCAGCACACTGGGAACGTCCATGTCCGAGCTACCGACCTGGAGGAAATCTGCATCCCGAACAGCAGTGTAGGGTCGGTCATACTGGTAGTCATGCCTGACCCCGAGCAGTCACGCTCTCGAAGTCTCGACCCCAGTCCGACTTTTTTGGCCAGGGGCCCAGTTCGGTGGGTGTCGTACTTCTGCGTCCAGTCTAGCTTGGCCTTGGAATTTTTCTTCACGACCTGGGTGCAAAAAGCATGAAAATGCTCCTGAGCTCCTGCAAAACCTCAACCACCAAAAGCAGCTTTGGATTTGCACGACAGCGCCTGCGCTGCTCGCTTCTGCTTCTGCGATTTCGTGAACTGGAAGTGCGCACGGACCTGGCACGCCAGAGGAAGGCAAAAGGCACACCTAAACAGCCAGGCAAGCCGCTTGCACTGGCATTGAGCGCCAGGCCGCTGGATGATCGTCGTCGAACATATAGTCCTGAGCAGGACGGCGGCAGAAGAACTCTCAGTCACGAGCTGGTACCATCCTCGAAGTGAAGTGCGCAGGGCTCTTCCAAGGCAACAAGAATATCATTGAATTTCGGCTCCACCTGCGCATGCATGACGAGTTTTCAGCCAAACCCGCTGGAGATGGCAAGCAGGAACATCTCCAGCAGTGAATTGCGCACAGTTGTCCGGAAAAGGTCAGGCTTGCACTTGCGTGCGGTGTTTACAGCTGCAAAGCATCATTTCCCTGCTAGCGCTCTTCCGGGCCTAACTGATGCTTCTTGTGTGTTCTTGAGGCGGTTGTTCATGCTTTTTCACTCCCTTAGCCGCCTAGCCAGCCCCGAAACCTCATGCCCCGGCTCATCTCCTTCCTTCCTCCTTAACCCGGAAAGCAAAATCTGAGAAGATTCTCGCCAGAATCACACGTGAGGCAGCAGCACATCTGGAATCTGGAAGGCTGGGAGCACCATCTGGCTGATCGCTTCGGCACGCTGCCGAAGCGTCTCGGCTTCCTCCTGCGTCTGCGGCGCCTTTTCCGACAACCGGATTGCCCACATCCAAATCCTGCAAGGCACCGTGGGGGTTACGACACACAACGCGCGGCACGCTTCCGGGACTAGCAGCAGGCACTACGCCCGCACATCTCTAATTTGGGAGTTCTCTTGCAAACCAAACTACTATCAAGCTCAAGCCTGTGTCGGATTTGTGGAACAAAATAGTCGCAGCCTCAGAAAGCAAGGAAACTCAGGGACAAGAAAGTCGAAGAGATCTACAATACTTCAGCTCTGCTGCTGTTCAGGAGGCGGTACCCAGCAGCGTAGCCACGCGCCTTGCGATTGATCAATAGGGGCATGTGTTAACATATCATTCGAGAAGCGTGCCTTCAGACCCTCCATGACCAAGTCCACCTCATGCAAGTACAGTGGTCGATCCGGCAGCAGCTCAGGAAAAACGAGCGAGAAGCCTGCTTGAAGCCGATGCTGTTGCCCTTTAAGATGGCCCACACATTCCTTGGTGCATTCATTCGTTCACCCCTTCCTCTAACGGCGGTGTCCTTCTGCCGTTTGTGCAAGGGAACCAGTCTTTTACAGGTCCACCTATCGGCGACGTTTTGGATGCGAACAGGACCGATACTAACACCATCAGGTTGGCACGTTCGGTTCCCTCCTGCTGTGCTTCAAGCTGTGCAGAGCTGCCACGTGAAACTGCTGCAGAAGAGTCTCTCCAGCAGAATGAGTCGAGGTCGGTGCCTCTCTGCCTGACATACTCTGACACTCAGTTTCCCATGATGACCATGCAACATTTCCGTTGCAACTGCGGTCTCTGCATAATCCAGAACGCCGCGCAGAGTTGCTCCAGACTGGCCCATTTCCTGCAACCTCAGCACGAAATCTGACAGCTCACACAGATTGATCGATGGGCCGCCAAGCACATAGCGCTTTCCGGTAGGAGTTCATCAATGACAAGTCCTCGGCCAGCAAGGGCTAGACTTGCCACTTACTTCGTGCTTCAAAGCATTCAGCTGGCCCGGAAGCCTTGCAGCTGAAGCCGGCAACCAGGATGTCCACGTCGTCAGGAACTGGTTGTGGCTTTTGGGAAAGGACCTTACTGTAATCTCCACTGCAACAAGCGAAGCTCTCTATATGCCCCATGCAAATTAGACGAGGATGTGCCATCTCTGCTTCCTGCCTCCCAAGCTCGCTTCCGGCCCATTTGCCTTCACGGAGATCGGAGGGCTTTATCAGAGGGGAAGGGTGAGTCTGCAACACGCCAAGCTCACACGCAGTCTTTGAAGAGCAGCGGGCACTCCGGAAAGTTGGCTTTCAAGAACTCCTTCCAGATCCGGTCACACCCGGCCAGGCTGAGCCTCTGCTTCGGCTTCCCCTAGCTTGGGGGGCCGGGGGGGCCCGGCCTGCTTCTTCACATCGTACTCGACAGAGAAAGCCTCGCGTTGAGCACCAGAGGCCACGGAAGCCCACAGCCGCTTCCGAGCATTCAGGGACCCAGCATGCTGGAAGCTCAGTTCGGACCCATGTGGCCGGAGGGCACGCTCCAAGGCCCTGTGCAACAAACGCACAGTGCTGCACCCCCCCCCATACCAGGACTTCTGAGGGGCCTTGCCACCAGCACAGGGGCATCTGTGCCAGAGCACATGGTTCCAACCCGAAGCACCTCGGCCGAATCCGTCCACATCCCCATCCTCATCATCTCCTCTAGCCTGGCCTTAAGTTAATTATTTAGGTTTACTCTACTTTTAATTCGGGACTTTCAGTATGTTGTTTGCACTTCTTGGTTGCGGAATGCAACTCGATCTCATGAGCCGCACTGCATGACCATGCTTCCATGCTACGGGGCCCGACCTTCCTCCGCCGAAGGACTTCCGGAAGCGCAGATGCACTCTGGAACATCTGCAGCTTGTGAAGCCTCAGGTTGATCAGATATGATTCTCTCTGTCTTGAGAGCCTGACCATGCCATGCGAACGAATGAAGAAACCGGCACTCGAGATCAGGCTACATTGATTAATTGCGCGCCCCTGCTTTGTGTTCACCGAGGCTGGTTGCGGAAGTGACAAGACGACTGACAAGATGTGGCAAGCAGACGTGGAAGCAGAGTGAAGCCCCTCAGCGGCTTGAAAAAAGCGCCACACTTTCTTTGACAGACAAGAGCTGTGCAGTTTTCCGTGTTTGCCAAGTCTTGACATGCAGTCATGCTGCCAAAGGGCCAAAGGGCAAACCTCCAGTCTCCGTGGACAACAAAAAGACATGGGCGCAGGCTCTCAGGTGAAACCAAACACAAAAAATATCCCCAAGAAGGAAAGCTGTCTTTCCAGCATGGTTCTTTCAGAGACCTACAGGGCTGTGATGCCTTGTTCACGCGCGCGCGCGTGTTGTAACGCAGATAAGCACTTTGTATTGTAAATACCAGTGTGCAAGGACATTATGCATTGATTTATCCGCTTTCGTTTTTACTCGGACCGTGTAGATGCAGTAAGAGTTCTTTTGCGCTTTATCACCGCAACGGGGCTTGTCGGGAAGACCCAAAGAAAATCGAGACACTTGACCCTTTGGATGCTCTTGCAACAACAAGAGCTTAAGAGAGTTATAACGTGCACAGAAGTCGCAAGAGAATTTACTTTGTGCTGGAAAAACCAGATGCGGAGGCCCGCAACACATGACCGTGTAATGTATTTGCTGGACCCTCAAGAACGCGGAATTTGAGGTTTTCATGTTGTTTCAAGCGCCTGGAAGAATCACACAAACATACCTCCAGGGCGAGTTCACACATGTTGAATGTTGAACCAGTGTCTTCCTCGATCGGCACTACAACTTTTGCTGCCCCTCCAGATTTCGACGGAACCTCCAAGGGGGAACAGTTGCTTCATCATTGTGGCTTCGGCACGCACCCCTAGTTTCCAGGCTCCTCCAAAAGCCCCACCGCATGTTGGGGGCCCTGGCGGCCGAGGGGTTTACCCGCCCCTCAAGCCCTGTAGAGAGAGAGAGAGAGGGAGAGGTGATGTCCTGAGTCTTGGCATGCCAGGTTTGAGAAAAACTTAGTGGGCCGCTGGTGCCCTTGTGCCGTGGCAAAAGGGCATCGAACCATTGTGCCCTTTGCCTTTGGCCTTCTCACGCCGCGCCGCTTCAAATCATAAGTTTCGAGCAACGTGGGTGTGCTTGCTGCACACGTCTACTACTGAAGCGCTGCAGAACATCCCCCTTTCCGGCACGTACATGTATCTTAAACAACCTACCAACATGCCAACACCTCGCTCTCAGAAGCCAGTAGTCGGAATTAAAACCAACACGATGCTGAAGCACCACTCAGCACTGATCCATTTCAGAACAGCATCATCAGCGGTCATCGTCGTCGGCGTTGTGACCGTCGTTGGGGTGGCATTCAACATGAAACCACACGCAGAAAAAATAAAACAAAACATCGGCAAGACGCGACTCCAACGGCGACATCAGCGACCGCTGCGAGGGCGACAAACGAAGAAACGGACAATGAGAACGATCTACAAAAGATTCAGTCCCGTCTGCAATGCTTTCGCTCTGGCTACAAGGGCAAGCCTATGTCCAGGTGTGGTCATGTGTAGTCGGCTGGGTGAAGGCCGTAAGGTTCCGGCATGCAGGACACCATGTCGACCAAAGTGCGGGGAGCTTTGGCGCGTCGCTGCTGCAGCTCGAGGAGCCTGGGCGAAGGTTCCCCGGGTCCCCCTGGGCCGAGTCTCCGAGCTTGAACGTGCGCCTGGACTCGTAGAGTTCTGCTTGCTTGACTTTTGCAGGCGTCGAGGCCTCCAGAAAACTCCAGAACGCTTGCCTGTGCTTCACAGATCATCTCAGCCTTCGTCCGAGGCTTTCCAGCTTCACAGAGTCGGCAGCAAGGCCCAAAGGACTGGCCCAAGTGGCTGGACAAGCGGCCTTGAGCACTCGACAATCTCGGAGATTTTGGACCCGTCTCTCTGTCATCACGAGGCTCGTGCTGGCGATAGCTTCCTTGACCACCACGCTTCCTGTCAAGCACGGCCCAAGACCCAGTCCAACGGACTAGGACCCTGAACTAAGCTGAACTAAGCCAGGGGCCCATGGTGTCCACTGTCACGGTCGGCTGATCCTCTTCCAAGAAAGAGCAGAGCTCACTATCCTTCACTGCAGACATCGGCCCCGGGCTGCACTTCCAGCAAGCAGCTGCCGGCACTCGAATGGACTGGGCCGAGGTAGACGTCAAACGTGCACTAGCCACAGCAGGTTTCTGCTTCACACTCTAGAGCCTCTTCGTGCCAGAATCAGATGGGAGAGTGCAGGCAATGACATTTCCAGCCGCGTCCCTGAACCTGCTACAGGCAGTGCGCGACTCCATGAGAACGCAGCCATACGCAGCCCGTGGCGGCTTGTAACTTCTTGGCTGAGGCAGGCACCGCCACTTGTCACCTGTGTAGCTCACCTCACGGCTCGGGGGCTGACCTGTAATTCAAGTCGCTGCTTGCTCAGTGCCTTCACCTGCTCCGAAACGCCGAGGCAGGACACCTTCGCAGCACTGTGCGTAAGTCGAGCTTGCAGGTTGTACAGCACACGTGGCCGAAGTCTCAAGCCTTCGAAAAGGACCTCGGCTCCGAACGATGGCTCCGGAATGAACAAAGTGTAGCACAAGGTACAGGCTGGCCATCAGAGACATAGAGGCCATGGAGTGACGGCATCTCCTCTCATGCGAGGCACTCTCGAGGAACTACAGAAGTCTTCAAGGCCAACATCGCACACCACACGGGCCTTGACTTCCAACTCCCAAAGACGCAGCTGCCCCTGGACTTCTGCGAACTGGCCTAGTACATCCCACCGTGAGTCTTGCTTGCACCTTGGCGTGGCTGGCAAGCACCGCCTCAAGCTCCTGAGCACCAGAAAACTCCTTGAGCCTCACGGCCCTCACGGGCTCCGCAGAGAGAGGGAGAGAGACAGAGACAGAGGTTTCTTCGTCGGTCTCCTTTGCCCGTGCCGCGGCTGGCTCTGACATCCTGCTGGCGCCAAACGGGCACAGTGCTATGTTGCCCCAACTAGCTCCAAGCTCCGGGCTTCTCGAGCACCTCACAGGAGACGCCGGGACAAAGAGGCTCAAGCGAAAGGGCGTCGTAGGGCCAAACACCCACATGCCCAGCCTCGTGGTCCCTCGCACCCGCGACCTCGTGCTTGCTGAGGAAAACCTCAGCTGCTGACAACGTCGTCTCGTTCCGTATGGGTTTCTGTTGGGCTCTTCCCCTGCCTTGCCGTCGGCACGTTTGGCAGTGACCTGAGATAGTAATAGACGCAGCTGCCGTGCCACTCAGCCGAGACCAGGCGGGCCCGCCTGGTGTCCGGAGAGTCGGTACCGGACGGTCACTGTCCATGTCTCGTCCAATCCCCAATCTTCGATGATGCGCCTCAAGACCAGCGGCATCCAGCGGCCACAAACGCAGTCCACTTGCCATTCCATGGGATTCCGGACGAGCCTTCGCTTTCTCTCACGAACCTCCTCGTCCACGTACACGAGCACGAGGACCACGGCGTCTGAGGCCAAAGCCTATCAGAGCAGTCTGCTGACAAAATCGCTACGAGTACCGACAGCTGCGAAGGAAAGACAATGTATTCTGGGACTGTGCCTCAAGCTGATCTGAGACGATGGGAAGCACTGTCCCGTTCTTCAGCCGCACGCCTTGGAGACGCCTTCACAAGCAAAATGCTTCGACTACCCACTCCAGCTCCCATTTGAGTCCCTTACCACTCGCCGGCGCGGAGTGTGAGCTCACTCCTGGCCACCTCGAAATACCAGGCAAGACAGGGACCAGCGAACGAGTCTACACCACAGCCGGACCAACCGGAGTCGAGAGAACAGTGAAACACCAACTGATGAAACAGGATGTGAAGCTCATCACACTGGTCCAAACGCAAGACAGGGACCAGCCAAACGGACTCGGAGCAGAACCTCCTGCTTCTGCTGATGCTTGAGACCCATGGCCTGTCACAGCGCTGACCCTTGCACCCTCTGGAGTGGTGTTCGGGACATTTCAGGACACTTGCTCACGTTGCCTTACGCACCTTCAGAGCACTGTCGTTCGCATCCTGGAGCCACAAAGGAATCGGGACAGATCTTACCATGCCTGCATGACGCCTCTCCCTCAGCCTTGCGCTTGACACCATTCTTGGCACCTCATCTTCAGGCAACTCCCAGTGTGTCCGGTCGTTACATGCGGACTTTACCCAGCAGCTACAAAGCCTCGTCCTGCACCCTTGCCCCTTCGCGCAACTTCCTCCATGTAGCGAACAGTGTCTCAAGTCTCTCCTAGAATGGCTCTGCACCTCCGCGCTTCGAGCGACAATGGGCATGGTGCCCTTTCGGCTGGGACCCGACCGGCCTCCTGCCCGGCCGGTGAGCCTCAAAAGAAGGCACCGGTCAGACTTGCAAGTGGTGGCGAACTGACCTCTTCTGCCAAGATACTCCGAATGCACCCGCTCCGCAAGCTCGTAGTTCTCCTGCGACAAGGCGCCGGCGCTAGTTCGCGCGCTTCCCTGCCCCTGCCCCACACCCGTGCGCCTCCCGCACGGCCTTGGCCAACTGCTTGCGCATGCCCGCCTCAGGTGAAGCAGCTCACCCAAGAGTTCTCTTCATCATGACATTCCTGCCTCGCTCCTCTCGATGTGTGCCTCAGGCTCTATGAAGTCTGCAGGAGTTCACTGCGGAGTGACGAGCTGCGGGCCTCCTTGGCTGACATCATCTGCTGATGGGCAGCCTTTGCCTCCTCGGCCTGCCGCTTCGCCTGAGACCAAACCCAAGCCACCCTAAGCCACCCTAGGATACCCTAGGCATACAAGGCGAGGAGGGCCGCTTCCGGGCCTTGGCCTCGACCGCCTGCAGCGCCGCTTCCTTGCAGAGGGCGCGCCGGGCGAGAGCCGGCGTTTAAAGTTTATGCCGTAGCGGGTGTGGCCTTGCTGTGGTAAAAGTCCGCCTTGCCACCGGTGCCAAGAACCTGAGAAAGAGAAACAATAAGAGGAAATCGCAGCGGCAAGGCGCTAGGTTTTGCTTTGGCTGGCCTTGATCAGTCGACCGTCCTTCCCGAGCTTCACAGCCCACCCGGCCGGCAGGAGCCACTCGGCAGCCAGCTGCTTCGCCTGCAAACCCGCGACAGTGGAGGACTCCGTGCTCCCTCTCCCTCTCCCTCTCCCGCTCCCTCTCCTGCTCCACGATCCGACGATCCATGAGGGAATACTTCTTCAGGGCCAACGCATGCACCTGCGTCTGACACGGGGGGGGAGGCTCTGAGGCTTTGCGCGTCTCTTCCACTGCAGAGCGGGAAGTCCGGCCTTTGGCTCCGGAAACCTGAGGAGCGCACTCCGTTCATTCCGCAGAAAAGGAAACGTACTGCTGAAGTCGTAGTATGTCGTAGTGTTGAAGTTTTGCTTTACCAGTCTTCGAAAGTTGCTTCCACCTAAGCGAACCCTTGCTACAGCATGCACGCACAAAAAAGCACGTTTCGCGCTTGGCCAACATGGTAAGGTACCGCAGCCGTGTTTGCATGTTGGCTGTCAACTCTGTTTTCCTGCGAGTTCAGTCCATGTGCGGGTGAACAATCTCCTCCATACATACATACATACATACATACATACATACATACATACATACATACATACATACATACATACATACATGCCTACATACATACGTACATACGTACGTACATACATATATACGTACCTACATCCATGCATCCCTCCGTCCGTGCATGCATGCACGCATGCATGAGCGACTGAGTGAGTGAGTGAGTGAGTGAGTGAGTGAGTGAGTGAGGGACGGAGGGAGGGAGTGAGTGAGCGCATGCGTGTCTGCCTGAGTGGGTCGGTGGTCGCTGGATCGATGGCTGAGGGTCCACAAATTGACAAAGCTGCAACAAAAACGATAAACACATGGGCCCACATACCAATATCATTTGGAAGCTCGCTTTGAGACGGCATCACGGGAACGAACACCGCGCGATGATGACGAGGCCTTACAGGTGATTGGTTCTGGCTTTTTCTGCGTCTGTGCCAGCTTTGCTGTGAGCTAGCATTGAGGCCGCAAGCGGATTCATTGGTGATGGTATCATGTTGCAATTTCGCACGCAAGCTTGGGCAGCCAGATGATTGTATTCTGAGCTGGACCTTTTCCTCTTCGTGTTGTAAGGGATGCCTGCAATTTTCTGCCTTCATGCTGGACGACCAGGAGCACTGAGGTGCCCGGACGAACAAACAGCCTTTGGACTTTGGAAACTGGATTCACTGCCAAGCTGCAGGTCCTAAGCCAGCCGCTGTATTCCCAGAAGGTTTTTGCATCTTCTCCGCAGACCGATGCTGATGGCTCCACAAACCCGCGGCTGCTGAACTCGTCGGCCGCTGCGTCACACCAAGTATAACAGACAGAAGGATCCTGGCATTGCAGCTGTGTATACCACAGAAGGAGGGTGAACCTGACATGACCAGAATGCGTGCCACACAATGGCCGCCTCTGAGAGATACAGGCGACGGACAATGCCGGATGTGTGTGTGTGTGTGTGTGTGCGCACCTCTGTATCAAAGGGCGAAGCAACAAGGAGTTGCATGGGGCGCAGCGGACATTGCAAGTCTTGCCCCGACGAAGACTCCTGCAATGATCCGTGATGGGAGTTGGGACGCCGACTCCTGCACCTGCATTTGCATTCGTTCTTACATGCAGTGCTTTACTGCTTACACGAAAGTCTTGACATGGTGTAGTTATGCCGTCGATGTGAGCCTTGAGTCCTGTAACCTAAACAGCAGCAAACAAACAAAAGCGACACCATCATAAAAGTGAGACGAACACAAAGAGCCACAACCGAAGACATTCCAGATCAAGAGATCTGATGCAAGTGTGTGTATGTGTGTGTGTGTGCGCGCGCGCGCGCTGCACTCGTAATCAAAAGGAACATGCTCCCCACCAACACAAATACCCGAGCTGCTTTTCCGTCACGGGCTACATGCCTGGCTCATCCACACCCCCTCATAGCCCCCAGCCCAACCCGATCGACTGCTAGGTTTGGGGACATGCTTGGGCCCTGTGATCTGGATTCACGTTCAGTGAGAAAGGCCACACACCGAGATCTGCACTCCCCATCTTTGTGAGCTGCCCAGAAGTCGGCAAACTTAGCAACAGCAGTTGCTCGGTCCTGGGCCAGCGAAAGATAGGAAGAAAAGCACGCCACTTCTAATGAGGCTCGTCCTTGTGCGACACGTTGGTGTACATGGTCTTGACGATTTTGAGCTGAGCATGCAGCGGCATCGAGACTCATACAATGCAGAGAAGACGAGACGACAAAAGCGCGTCGGCTGGACGTACTTTTCTGCGGCCATCGCGGTGGGACTCTTGCCATGTTCTTCAACAAGCTCCTACCGGCAGAGGAATGCGATGGCGAGGGCGCTCGGTACCGTGGTGTCGGCCGGTCCTTCATGGCCTGGAACATGGCATTGGCTTCCTCCTCTCGCTTGATTGGCTTTTCCTGAAAGGCGCTCGCCTCTGACATCTGACTCTGGCGGTTCCAAGCCGGCTGAGTCTTGAACCTCCTCCGAGTCCTGCTTGCATTGTAACTCAAACCTTGCGAAGAAAGGATCGCAGTGACTCAGTGGACAGGGATCGCATGACAAACATTCGCAAGCAACTTCGTCAGGATCCGTGGCCACATCGCCCACTCCTTGCCAGCAGCATGTCCGCACTGTGGGCGAGTGGCCAGTCCCCACCTCATCCGTTGCGTCTGGCAGGAGTGCAACGCTCAGCGCCACCTTGAAGGACGAGTTTGTCTTCGCCCAAACGGCCCAAACGGGTTTGACAGGGTGCTCTTTGCACACGAATCCTCATGGCGGGCATGTATCGTTCGAACAATGAGGGATGAAGAAGTCTTCATGCGGTGTAGCGACCGGCCGCTGTCCACGGGCATCGACGTCCTGGTGAAGCCATGTGGTGAAGATGTAGAACAACAGAGCATGCGAGAGCCTCGAGAAGGTATCCGTCTTCGTCGACCTTCTCCTGGAGCTCCTCGCGCCTAGGCCAGGGCTTTTCTGAAGCTGCAGGCTAATCGGAAAGCCCTGGCGGTGTGGCCAGTTCGCCGTTGCGTCGGCCATCACCAGCTCCAAAGGCAAATCCACCTGGCACCCATCTAAAGGCCTCAAGATCTCCGTGGACAGACAACTCCCTCGGTGGACACCTGCAGGTCGTCGAAATGCTCTTGCTCCTGGCGAAAGCAAGAACCGGCTGCGTCGGCGCCAAACTCATCAAAGAAGCCACTCTTGACAGATGGACGAAGCAAATCGCCTAAGCAAATCACTATGTTGACAGGCCAACGCTTGGCCTTTCCCGTCTCTCTGTCGAAGTCCGGAGTGAATGTCGTCTGGAGCTTGTACGGGTCGATCGCAGAGACGTCCTTACAATGGTGGTCGCAGGAAAGATGTCGTCTGAGTCCGTACTGCAGTGCAGTGGCGGTGAGGTTCTCGAAACCACCGTTTTCACGAAACTTCCTGACACGAAACACTTGCGAGCATCCGTCACACAGGCGCCTGCAGCAGTGCTTCGTCGGTTGCCTGAGATATAAGATCGCCGAGTTCAAGTAGCCGTTGCACTTAGCCTGATAGACTGCAGTTGGAGTCGTGCGGAAAAGGAGAACAAACTTACCGGACAACCCCTGCACGCACAGCTCGGCAAACTCGGCAACGCGGCATTCTCAGGATCCATTCGCACTAGGCGTTGGAACTCGGAAGTCGCCATATCCCAAGCCTTCTTCTTGTGCAGCCTGATAGCTGAACACAGCTTGGGGCATTCAGAACTTCAGTCGAGGCATTCTATGTGAGCCAGGCTCCATCAGACGTCTCACGCCGTTCATGTATGGATAGCCCTGGAGCAGCGGCCACAAATAACAGCCCGTGGCAACAAGCTTTGCTTTCCAGCTGGAGCCTGTTGGAAAAAGGTCGCCAGCACACGTGGATACTGCGCGACGTCCTCTTGCGAAGCGTCTGGGACATCATCGTACCTGCATGCCAGAACTCAAGCTTCACTATACTCGATCCAGTCTGTGAGCTCAATGGGCTCACGAAGACCACTCGTGTCCTCTTGCACCGCTCAGCATTCGCTCCAGCTCCCTGCCCAGACAGGGGGGTCGCGGTCGCCCTTCTTGCCATGATCAAACCTACGCAACAGCGTAGTACCCTTCCGACTGTCGTCTGCAATCGCTCGTGTGGAACATTGCTCGAGCGGTAGCTCGAAAATTCTAGCATTGATAGGAACAGCCGCGCATGGTGCCAGCATGAGGCAAACTTGTTCGTTCCTGAAAAAAGAATTTCCACATACTGGAAGACATGAGTGCTTTGAATGATTCAACTCAAAAAGATAAGAAATTCAAAGGCATGGACCACCCACTGTTCCATCCGTTACTGCAACAACCCGGAACTGTACGTTTGCACGAGCACGCAGAGTCGATCGAAAATCCTGGCACTCGTTGCCGTCACTCTGCTTTTCATGTCAGCAACATGTCATTTGGAAACCGACGCTGGGCTCCATACTGTAGTGGCACAATGCTACCGCCAGCCACTTCATGTTTTGATTGCTGTTGCGGCTTCTCGACGCAAAATGCTGCAAAATGGAAAGGGGGGTGTCGGCAGAAACATTTGTGTTTGTGCGTTCAAAATGTGCCAATGAGGGCGAGACGACGTTGTCCATCCACCAAAAGATGATATTGAAATTTGTGCATCCATGATTCCATATACACCACTGAAACGGTTTGGTGTGTTCCTTTTTCTAATTCCGCCACATCTTCTCGACGCGTGCGCAGATTTGCGCGAACTTTAAACTACAGCTGACATGATACGGCTGCTATGTTCTACTATGGGGGTCTTCGACTAGTTCCCCCCGCATCATTCCCATGCCTCGGATTGCACGGCACAAGCTTACGCTCAGAAACCTTGACTCGGAGGCATCTTGGGACAACGGCCTGCTGCGACATGTCACCAACCTGACGTAGTTGGACCGTTTAAAAACCGTGACGATCGAGCGGTGATTTGTAAGTTCAAGGATAAATGAAGACCGACCATACTGGTAGCAATCTAGAATAGTTGGCCGCAACAGGTAATACGTGGACGGCATGTCCAACCTGCAAAACCTTCTGGAGCAACTTGGCTTTGTCCTCGTTCGTTTCACTTTGAAGATGTTCGCCAGCGGAAAGATGATGTCCTTCCGCAACAAGTAGCTCATGTTGAACTGCAACACTTCGCTTGGTTTGGCTTTGGCAATTGCCCACACCTCCAGAGCATGTAGTACATGAGATGGTCGCTTGTCGTTTGCTTACGCCATAACATGTGGTCATCTTCTTTGTGAAAGATGCTTAGCACGGCCGCCTCTTGTCCGGGCGCAGCCTTTGCTCGCACCAATCTAGGGTAGGTGAGGTGCAGGTACTTCAGGGAAAGCCAGTATTGGCGATGATGAAAAGACCACCCGATTGCTCCTTTTGCTGGAAAATCATGCAGTTCACAGTCTCTTTGCCGAGAATCAGGAGGTTGTGTCTCATTGTGTTGTCACACGACCAACATCGTTTTCGAAGTAAGCCCGTGTTGGCAAGCACTTCAGAACCAATGACGATGGCCTGGCAAACTTCGTTCTGCGGGGAATGGAAAGTTGCCTTGTCACGTACTGGACAAACATCTCCAAGGAAGGTGTACTCCTGGTAGTTTGTGTTGGGAACTGACATAGCTTGAGTGTGAAGGTGGGGCTTGCCCATCCACGATCAACACCTTTGAGCAAGGCACTAAGCACCTGGTCCGAGACAGTGTTTCAGGTTTGTCCATGTTCAACACGGACGAAGATGTCACAGTCGAGACTATATTCATTCGAACAATTGCATGTTCCTAGCGGCCTCTTGATCAGCATCGCAGTTGGCCCGTAAAGCTGAAAATGTCGAGGTCCTGGCATGCTTCAATGGTGGAGATGAGATGTTAGGAGTCTGCGCCATGGGTGCTGTCGAAGGATTCCGTGGTGCCGTCATAGCAGGCGTGCCCTCCCCAGAAACCACGGCCCACTCAGTGCAAGATCTTTTCTTCCGAGGACGCAAGGGGTTCACTTACCAAAGAAGTTTCGGCCTCAAGTGCCTCCTGATAGCCTGGGGGTTTTGACATGCTGTCCGTCCATGTACATGCCGTGGAATCTCTTGTTTGCCGGTCATCTTGCAGTCCGTGGGCAGCAAAGCGGCGTATGACTTGGCTTTGGTGCTGGCCAATCGCACGCACACGCCCAGGTCGCCGGCAATGATGACGTTGGAGCGCTTTAAGATTGCCATCAAGTGTGGTGTGGAGGCGTTGTTGACTGTTGGACCAAAGATATTCTTGAAGGCGTCCCAAGTGATGGTGTGCCGACAATCCTTTCGGGCTCCTTCTCGCTACCCCAAAAAGATTGCGACACTGATTACGCACGAATTTCGCAGCATGGTAACGTGCGTCGACCAGAGTGTTCTCACTCACACACAGGAAGGACTTCACGTCTTCCATATTCATCGACGCAAGAAGGGGATCATCCAGAAGGATAGGTACGTGGAGTTCACCAGGTCTCTCCCTGAAACCGTCAATCTGCTTCGATCGCCTCCAACCAGGGATGTGACATTCCAGATGCCCGGCGACTGCAAGAGCAAGGATGATGGCAGTCGGTGTTTTGCCAACCCCAGGACGGCCAATCAGGATGAGTACATGACATGGTGGGAAACACAAAAAGAACTACCTTCTCTAAGAAGTCCTGGATCAGATCATGAAGTACAAAAAGGAAGAGGTACTCCGGCTCCGACTGCGAATTGCCTGAGGTGCGGTTGACACAGGCGTTGTTAACGATGTGATGGGGCCACGCGTAGATGGGAGCCTCGCGATCTGGGCATAGGAACTGCTCATGCTTGGTGTTGGACAGCGGCCCATGCTTGTTGATGTAGTCTATGCCTCCACGCAACTCGTCTTCACTTGGTTCGCAGCTCTTGCCGTCTCCACAGTCATCCTTCTTCATGGCGTTTGCACAAGCCTTGTCCACAAGAGACTGTGAAAGCCACTGCTCTCCCGAGATGCGCTGGACCATGTACAGAATTTGACCTGGTCCTTGTTGCCAGTAAATAATTGGTGACACGGACTTGCTGGGAGCAGAAGGCAATGGCAAGACCCAACGGGATGAATGCCGTAGAGTGAAAGAACTTTGAAACCCCGCAGGTGCCGCTCTCATCCGGGGACACGTCATTTGTAGGACACAAGAGCTTCCAAGGGCATCTCGAAGGCGAAGTGAATCAGGTAACTGGTGAAGACTGAGTGGGGCCGTGTTCATGGCGGTGCGAATCCGATCACAATCTTTTGGAGAGACGCCTTCGACAGGGTGGAAGAATTCCTTGAACTTTTTGCCCTTGGCGGAAGATCACGCACGCGGAACTGTCCAGCGTCGCTGATGTTGTGGATGAGCGAAGTATGATGTTTGACATGTGTCATCCTGGCAGCAACGATCGTGTGTTCCATGATTTGGAAACAACAACCATTGGAAGCAGTTTCTATGCCAACGAAGCATTGTACTCAAGAACCAGTGCAAATGCGATGATGATGATGATGATGATGATGATGATGATGGCGGTGGCGCTGCTGCCGGTGCTGCTGGTGGCGGCGGCGGCGGTGCGAGGGCTTGTTATGTATGTATATATGGTTCAATCAGAACTAATTAACAATACGGAGATATTAACATAATGGCGAAATCCTCATTGAAAACTCGTCGTGTCGTGTATTCTTGTTTTTGAGGGCCGCTGCAGTGCCCCTATCATTGACAAGTTTCTGAACTGTGTACCGATGGGAACTCCCTTCCTAGACATACCCCAGGGCGACCAGTTGTAGCACGGTTTGCGGTCGAACGTGCGCGACATGCCTTCGCACCGGCCGGGGGCCTGCAAGAACGGCGTTTGCGGTCTAGGCTTAGCTAATGCACTAGAGCACACCCGAAGTAATCACTCAAAGATTACAGTGATCGCTGATAATGCCGCAATCCGGCATGTGAAGAGCACGAACACGTGTTCCCACCTTCGGAGGTCGGTCTCTGCCAAAACACACCGCTCGACGGAACTATCTGCAGCTTCGTCTCTGGGGACTCCGGAAGAATAAGATCCGAGCAAACACCGAAGCTTCTAACACCGAAGCAACGACAAAGGCCGCATTTAGCCCAGAAAGAATTTCTGATGCACCTGTCCACGTCCCACGGGATCCAACATGTATCATACTGTCATTTGACCGTCTCGGTGCATTTTTGCACCTGAGGCCTATCATGTTTCATGCTTCGTGACCATTCGTGCTGCGCGACTGGTATCTGCTGGGTGCAGTCGGTGTGGCGATCCATGTGTCCAAGTTGGTGTTCAATCAGCCTCTTGGTCGGTTCCTTGCCTGGCGCCTCCAAACTTCTCCAAACCAACATGCCCATCTGTGCGCCGATAGTTTGTCTGCCCTCGTGCTTAACGTCAGTGTCTTGATTGTCGGTATACACTTGTCGCAGAACCCGATAAAGCAACCCAATTCCCCAATCGAAACGCATGTTAGATGGTACAATATGCAGGGAGTGTCACGAGTACTCATACGTTTTCGACACCATGCAAAGAGAAGCAAGATTTGAACTAGATCCGAAAAAACAGTTTCTCCGTTTCGTCGAGGCACGCAGTTGACGGTTGAATCTTGAAATGCAATAAGGAAACAAATCTGCAATTCGAACACCTCTCCGGTTTCACGATTCTGCCAAGAAAAAACATTCCGACGGTGTCTCACGTCATGAAAGTTCCCGAAGGGACGACGAGATCATGAAAGTGTTGTCATCCAAATCCGTCTCGATGTGAAGCAACAAGGGCCGACGTCGGGGCCTTGTGGAGAGCCGGCCACAGCTAGAGCAGGCGACGTGCTGTCGAAGAGCCGCTCGTCGAAGAGATAACTCCGCATCTGGACCTCGGGTGCACGGGCCTTCTGCTAAGCATTCGGGACATTAAGATGAGGAATTCTGGAATTGCCCAGGTGCTTGCGAATTACACTCCACTCCCTTCTCCCTTCAGCACTCCCGGCTCATGGGAAGGTCTCTCGTCGTCTCTCAGCTCTCGTCGTCGGCTTGGTGGCAAGGCGTCCGTTCAAGGCATCCTGCACCGCCTGCGTGGCACCCGAGGTCTCGACCTGCAAAGGCGGGGCGCTTGGGGGGACCAGGCGCCGTGGGCGACCGTGGGTCTTTGAACGGTCTTTGGTGAATTCGCAAGTCGCAAGCACTGCGTCGCCTTCAGCTTCTCCTTCCGCACGTCGGCTGCGCCCTGCGCCTCTTGCTCCAGCTTGCTCGCCTCCGTCTCACCCAGCAGCTCGCGCCGCTGTCGCTCCTCTTGAAACTCCTCCACACGATTTCGACGCCAGAGTCTCAGAGCCTGAACACATGTCGGCATGCCGTCCTGTCTCGTCAGCACGGGATGATCGGACAGTCTCGATGCTTCCGCAAATTGTTTCGTGCCGTCCGGAGCCGTCAGAATAACGAGATCCTCAGGGTTCGTTTTATGCTTGTAACTTCGGTTGCAAGAACAACTCGATTGCAGGCCTCTTTGTGTGCCCTCTGGACAACTCGCACACCCCAGGCTGCCTGCGACTATGAAGCTACGCAGGCGCAACTGCTTGCAACATACCATTTCTGCGTCTGAAGCACGGGGATCTTGTGCTCATTGCGCAGGCGGACCTCGCTGACAGCTTTGCTGCGACTTGTTCGCAGAAGGCAGATCGGGCGACGGACTTCCAGCTTCCGTTCGGTGCGAGCAGGGGCTTGGCACCAGGGGCCTGAAGTGGACACTCGCAGTCACTCGCAGCTCCTAACTCCGTTCTGTCTCCCGGAAGCGCAGCTCGGTGTCGCACCGTTCTTTCTCTTTGCCCAGAAGGCTGCGAATTGCTTCACGGCTTTCTCGTGCGACTTCCTTTGCAGACGGAATCAGGAGTTGCCAACCCGTCTCTTGAAGACCACGTAGTCATAACTGCGCCGTGACCTCTGGTCACTAAGTCCAGCACTCCTTGGAAACGAGGTTCACGTACGTCGCCTGACACGTACACGGCATGGCACTTCTGATTCGCAGCCATTGCATTCCTTTCCGCTCCTCACTTCTCTCCGCAAGACCTTGGCCATCTCGTCGAGGGCCTTCTCGTCTTGGGTGAAGAGGTCATGCAGCACCTGGCAGCGACACAGCAATGCCGCTTGGCGTCGAGGGCATCTCTCTCGTTTAAACAGTGTTTTAAACCAGTCTGATTACACCTGAAGCTTGAAACAGCCGTACCTGGACCTCTGAACAAACTGCGCCTAGGATGCAAGAAATGCTTAAACACGTGTCTAAACACCCGTTTCAACACTTCTACCGGTTGCACCTATGCCGGCAGTGTTTAAACACACGTTTAAACACTTGTTTAAACAAGTCTGGTCACCTGTGCCGGAAGTGTTTAAACACACGTTTAAACACTGGTTTTAACCAGTCCGGTTACACCTGAAGCTTGGAACAGCCGTACCTGGACCTCTGAGCAAACTACGCCTAGGATGCAAGAAATGTTTAAACACCCGTTTAAACACTTCTAATGGTTGCACCTGTGCCGGCAGTGTTTGAACACATTCGGCATGTGGGGCAGTCAGGCAACTCTTTAAGCATGTGTTTAGACATAGGCCATTCGGCGCACTCAGGGAACTGTTTAAACACGTGTTTATACACATTCGGGATGTGTGTCATGCAGGGAACTGTTTAAACATGGGTTTAAACACATTCGGCACGTGCGGCAGTCAGGCAACTCTTTAAACATGTGTTTAGACATGGGCCATTCGGGCCACTCAGGGAACTGTTTAAACATGGGTTTAAACACATTCGAGATGTGTGTCATGCAGGAAACTGTTTAAACATGGGTTTAAACACATTCGGGATGTGTGTCATGCAGGGAACTGTTTAAACAAGTGTTTTCGCGTGGGATTGGATACATTCGCCGGGTGTGTAAACATCTCAATGCGACGACAGTGTTTTAACAAATAAACAAACATCCACCCACTGGCTAAACACGTGTAAACACGTTTGAATTTAAACCGTCTAAACCCAAAGGTGTTTAAATCGACCCTGATCTCTCGTAGGCACGAAAAGCTCACAGCGCAAGCGATGCAAGGGGCAGCGGTGCGCACGTTTTGGCCGTTTGCCCCATGGCCCATGTGCCATCTCTCTGCCGCACTCATCGGTAGGACTTCTGGAAGCGGGCGCGGGCTGAGCGGCCTCCGACATGATTGGACTTGTGAGAAACCCGACACGCACACGCGGACAAAGAAGATGCCGTCTTTGGAGGGGTTCCTCGGAAGCGCCAGGCCTCCGAATTTTTTGGGCTCGCAGCGACGAGGATCGGCAACGATCAATGACCTGTCCTCAGTCATAAATAGAGATTTAGCACATGGCAACTGTTGCGTCTCAGAGCTACATTGCCGCAAGAACACATATGCCATCAAGATGTCCTTGATCTCCTTCTTCGAAGCCTCGGGCTCTAGGCACCGAGGATGTGTAGTCGGACACTGTCACGAACGCGGAGCCTCATCGATGAACTTCTGGTAGTAAGCGACGATGCCCTTGGCCACGGCCTTTCCAAAATTCCAGCAGATGAACTCTCAAAGACCTCAAGAAGCTACTGCAGCTTGCTAGGGGCATCATGGGCCATCGCAGATAGTTCGGCCTGACGCAGCGCATAGATCTGCCCCGTGAAGCCTCCGCCCTTCACCCGCAACCGGATGTCCACCTGCCCGAGTGCAAAAGAATGTGAGGTCTTCCCAGTGTCTCCGTCACGTCTCCGTCTCCCTGACTCTCTTGTTTCTGCCTTGCTGCAGCGATCCTTTCCCAGCAGCAGCAGCGGCTCGTAAACCTGCAAGTTCTCTACGCGAGCCGGGATTGTGGCACATGCAACGCTCTCTTAGCACATCGCACAAGTGCCGTGTCAAGCTGCCGCAGTGCCGCAACATACAACTCTGATGGACACAGCGCGACCGACACAAATACGAGTTTGACGATGAAGTGCTCACTCACCCGATGTATCCCTGTCGCACCCGTGCGAATAGAAATGTTGGTCCACAGCCGGAATATTCAAGCACAGCAATCCCGGAGCAATCTTGACATCTATTTTTCTCTACCACAAGGAGTCGATACGTCACGTCGATGATGACGTCAAGTCAAGGCATGTCAAGTTTGCGTGACTTCGGTATGAAGGGACCTCCGAGCAGCTGCAGGCTTCCTGAATCAGAAACACGCCTTCACACGCAGGATGTCGGGCTTGACGGTGTGCAGCGGGCAGCCGTTCAGGCGCACCTACACACCGACACTTCACAGAAGCTCTCAGTGCACTTCGCAGAGTGCCCCAAGCCTGGCCACTACCCGAGCGCACGAGAGCCACGGCCACGGCCGTCTTCTTCCGCCCGAAGCATTGGACCTGTGAGCCAGCGCACTGCACTCGGCATTAGACGCTACACTGCGACAGCCTTCTCACTCTTCGGGGAAGGCGTGGTGGCTTCTCCCTCCATGATGCCTTCACATGATGTTCGAAGTGACGTGTCATCCGCAAGAGCCTGAGCGATGCCTGGCTGATGGGCTTCTGGGGCTCACTGGGACCGCTGAGCCAGACGTTGCAGCGGGCAGCCGAGTCAAAAATTCGTCAAAAACTCTGACATGCCTTGTAATCCCCATTCGAGTCCCCATTGTGCCTGGACCGAGCCTTCCGCATCTTCGTCCTGGCGGAGAACACCCCCACCCTCTGACTCTGCTTCTCTCTCGCAAGGGCCTGCACGTCTGCGTCCGTTCTCAGCCATTCTCTGAAAGTGGCTGCGACCTTGGCTTTCTTGGAACTGGCTTGGCAGACACGACGAAGTCCGACGAAGCAGCGCCCGCAGTTAAGCCAGAAGCTGCAGGGAAGCGATCGATATCCTCGACGGAGGCATCCGGGATGCCGGACAAGGCCTCCATGATAAAAGGTCCGCACGACAAATACGTACACATCCACGTCTGCATGGATGCGCTGAACGCACGTACTTGAAATCTTTGCCTTCTTCATTTCCCGTCCTTTCTTTTGCTCCTGGCATAACGCACCCTACGGCAGCACTGTGCGCACGTCGAACTTCGTGCAGATGCGGTCCTCATCCTCCTCCGCACCATCGGCATCCTGCAGAACTGCAAGACACCCATGCTTCCGCTGAAAGCAACGGGTTACACGTCACATCGTCCGCAGAGTCCTCGTCCTGATCTTCTCCTTCTTGTTTCCTGCGCCATGTGATCTTCTGATTCTGGCAGCAGACTTCCGAATCATCCTGAGCAACGGATTATGATGCTGAGACATACTCTTGCAGTCTGCGCGGATCCTCCTTGGAATTCCCATCCAGGAAACGCAGCGGGAACTTTTCCTGGCTCCAGCACTGCATCACTGTAAATATCAAGACAAGACCCACCCGCACTGCCTTGAGAATGGCTCGCGCAAATTCGAAACGGTCCGTCGGCCCGTCATCGCCTGCATCAACGCAAGAGGGACCCAGGGCCTGGAGCAACCCAGGACCCAGGACCGTCCGTCCTTCTTCATCGGGCTCTTTTGCATCGGCGCTTTTTGGCTTTGATTTCTCGCTCTTTTCCTGCAAAGCTTGGTGCCGAGCCCGAGGCCACAAAGAAGAAAGAAGGCAGCACCCCGTACCTCTCGCGGGGGCCTCAGAAACCCAAGTCGGCACTCAAAAGTCATCGATTGCACGAGCTGCTGCAAAAAGGCAGCGGCACAGAGCAGCCGATCTCCGCACATCGTTTGACGAGGAGCTGATGCAGCTCCCTTGCCTGAGATTGTGCCCAGTGCGGACCCCAAACAGTGAAAGACATCTACAGGTAGCAGTCTGAGCTCCTCATCCAGGAACCATTCCAAGAGAGGCACCCAAGCAGACCACATCCGGTGAGCACAAAAAGCACCATGCGGCGGGAGCATGATTGGCACCCCAGAACATCCACCGCGGTGTAGCCCCTTCGACCGGCACTTTGAAGCGCAACAGGAGCACGGGACGGCTGTGCGAGGGCGATTTCCACCCACAGTACACCAGTGGAGGGAGCACGATTCAGTCATCAAGGTCAAGAACATCGCAGTAATGGAGTTCTCAAGGAATTCCGCCTGTTTGAAGGGACGCGGCCGGGGACTGTTGAGACTGGAGTCGGACGCGAACAGCGAACCGCACCAGAGCGCGAGGCGCGCGGGAATCCTGGGCCTGGGTCAAGAGCTTGATACACTTCACATAAACTTGTACACAACAACAACTAGACAAAACCCAGTAAAGCGGCCGTGACAAAGCGGCATAGTGTTACCAAACTGTTTAGGGATTCGGCTCGGGCCGCTCCGGCCTTCGCGTAGTCGTGGGTTCTGACCGCTGCTTGAATGCTGTTTCGAAGCGACGTCAGCTCGCTTCTGCCTGGCCTGGAGAGAGGCGAAGTAAGACAAGCCTTCCAGTTGTGGCTTCTCAGCTCCAGGCGAGGGCTGGATCCTCGCAGCTTGGATGGATGGCTTCTCTGGAGTAGCCTGGCACGTCATGCCTGCATTGAGCTCTCCTTCTTCCCTCACGTGTCTGAATTTCTGTGGCCTCGGCGACCGAGACACCCTTCGAAGGGGGGCTCGACATGTCCTGCACCAAGTCCCTGCTAAGTCTGCGAGGTCCATCTGGCTTATCAGCTGGCTCCTGATCCTTGGGCTCCGTGCCTACAGCGAGGAGGGCTTGTGACTGGCGGCTCTCTCTTCCAAAAGCACCGCTTGCGCCTCCGCTTGCGCCCCGCTGCGGCGTGGCCACCCCGGAGGGTCCACGCACCTGGCCACGAAAGAAGCGCAAGGAGCGGAAGCGAGTGTTCCTTCATGTTCCTTCGTTCTGCCGTTCCCCGGCCTCGGCCTTGACCTTTGGGGAAAGCCGCATCGCAAACTTTGCGGCCGCGGAAGTCGGCTTGGCTTTCGCCTTCGCCTAGAGAGCCCAGCGAGGAAGCGTTCAAAGGGGATGCTCAGCGCACCTTGCGCTTTGGAGGCAAGGCCTCCTGCTGCGCCTGCTTCAAGACCTAGCACAGAAGGTGGGAAGTGGGCGCAAAAGGAAAAGAAATAAGGCCTGCACGGAGGCTTTCTCCTTGCTCTTCTTCGACGCTTTCTCCGCGGAAGCCTCCTCCTCTTCCTCCTTTTCGTCCTTTTCTTCCTTTTCATCCTTTTCCTCCTTTTTCTGCTCCTCTGGGTGCTTCCTTTTCACGGCGAAGTGCGTCGTCAGGCTCGGCGTCCCGGGACCCGGCGGAGCAGACCTCGGCAGGGCGCGTCGGACGCGTCGCCTCGCGCCTCGCGCAGGTCTGCAGGTCGCTGCAAGACCATTTTGGGGCGAGAGCTTCCTGCTTCGACGCCGGAAGTCCACCCTGACTCATCCGTGCCATGCCAAAAGAGGCTTGGAAAGCCAAATGGCCTGAAACGGTCGTCGCCAGCAGCTGCTTTGGCCTGTGTCGATGAGTGGTGATCAAAGTGCTTTGTTACCAGCCCTTTCTCTTTTCCGCGGCATCTCTTCTGCGGCTAGTTGGACGATAGCTGCTTCAGGTGACGAAGCAGCGCAGCCTTCGAGGAAGCTTCTTGCCGGGAATGTGTTTTAGCGAATCCTACGGTCGGGCAGGGCTTTGACGAATACCGCGCCTCAGGTACGCCTTGCCCGGAGCATCGCTTTGCCAGGTCGCTGACACCAGGACCCGGCTGCGGGGAGCGCCGCTGGCCTAGGCCGAGAGACAGGGCCCTTTTTGGAGTGCGGAAGCAGAAGTTGTCCCTGCCTCCTGGGAGTTCTTGTCATCGACGGACCAGAGCCGGTCGGCCGCGATGATGGAGCGCAGGGCCGCCATGGTCCGTTCGGGGCCGGCCACATGGATCAGCGCCTCGCCGCTCTGTTGGATGCGACCCAAGATGGCACCACCGAGCTGTCCGATATTCGTGGTGCGGCCAACCAGCAAGGGGCTCTGCTTCGAAGGCTCCACACGCTTCTCCACTAGCTGATAGTGAGTCCGCAGGGCGGTCACCTCCATGGCGCCTTCTCGAAATGCCCTGCCGTGCGGCTTCTTTGTGACCCAATCCAAAGCCATGGCAACGATCTGGCCGTTGAAATCTAGTGTCATTGCCGTGGCACATGCTTTGACGACTACGCTGGCAGCTCTGATGCCGAGACTATCGCAGAAGAGGCCTTGTCCCGCCTCTCGCACCACGTGGTCTGCCAGGCCTTTCATGTCAGTGTCTGAACGGACCCGATACACCTTACCGCTGTAGTCCTCCTGCTCAGAGAGTGCGGGAAGCATCTGCGCCGAGGTGGCGCTTCTCTGTATAGGACTTCCGACAGAGCGCTCGGCATGCGACGTCAATATCCATGCCAGCTGCCGCACCCCAAGCAAGCCGAGGCCAGCGAACGACAAGCAACCAAGGCGGCGCCCGGACATGGCTCGCCGAGTGAAGTTTACAGAAGCTTAAGCCTTAAGCTTCGCCGACCTACGGACCTACCTTTCACTGCGTCTTTGTGGCTCTGCGATCCGCACTGTTCTTGAGGACTCGATTTGCCAGGGCTGGACAGTGTTTCTGTACTGCGATTCAAGGTTTGGCTGGAGATATCCGGACATCGAAGGCTCTTTCAAGGCCGGGCACACACACGAACCGATGCCGTCCGACACTGAGGCCTCCCATGGCATGGAGAGGCCGCCGCGACTCGCCACGAAGTCCTGCTCAAACGCTTCCGAAGCAGCTCCCGAAGCGCGCCTTACAAAGCGTTAACATGTCCCATGACAGCTTTAAGGTCGAGGAGCTTGGAACTTTTTCAAGCCAGCACCGATAATGTTGTTCCGCTTTTGGTTTTCCTCGGCCACGGGGACTTCCCCAAGATCCGAAAGTGTGGCTTGCGGCCTTGGTCCTCTTGATGAGATCCAGGAGCTCCTCACCAAAAACGGTCCACTTTAGGGAAGGCTGCCGCCTTCCGGCGCAGCCGGCCTGGGATACCAAGGCTTGCAGGTCCAGCTGGTGGCGCTCCATAAGCATCTTGACCTCAATTGCGCTCACACTCTCACTCTGACTCTCGCTAGGGTCGAGAGGAAGGGTTTTCTCACTCTCCCTCTTTCTGTGTGATATGTTTTGCTCAGGGCATGTCCTCTCTCTCTCGGTTCTGTTCTCGGGGCATACTGTAAGGGACGAGTTAGGCCTCTCTCGCTCGCTCTGCGCACAGCTGCGGACCTGCACCATGTAATTCGCAGCGGACTTGCTCGTGCTGCCGGCCATCATCCAAGCAAAAAACCTACCGACGGCACCGAGTTGAGGAAGCCTTGTGCATGCACAGAGCTGAAGATGCACCAAGCTAGCGACGATGCTAGTGTGTCGCTGTACTGCTCCTAGCAGCGTCGATGGCTCTGTCCAACCACTGCCACTCGGCACTCGGCACTCGCACAAAAAGGGCGCCTTCTGCTCGTCTGTCGCTTTGGCGAACTTTGCAAAGGCTTCAGCATCCTTGTTTTCAGACGTTACCATGTACTGATCTCGATCCGAGGGTCCGAGGGCATCCGAGAGCCCAGCTTCCAGACTCAGGTCCTTGACACACTGCGGTTCCTGCCCCTTCCGAGCAAGGAAAGCTGAGTTTGCAACCGTCGAGGCCAGTCTACGCCTCAGTTCCTCAGGTCGAATTCGAATTCAGAACTCGGACATAAATATGTCCACCAAAACACCATCCCGCCACGTTCAGATACATCCCTAAACGGCCCTAAACACGCGATGAGCTCAGCTGAGGCGCCTCCTCCCGGCGGGTTTTCATCTCTAACCTTTCCTGCGAAAAGCGTCCTGGTCTTGCCTTTGGCTGCTTCTCCTCTTGCCACTTCAGCTTGCCGAAGCCATCCGCCTCTACCTGCTTCTCCATCTCTCCTTAGAGAAAGAGACGAACTCTGCGGAGCGGAGCGGAAGCGCCCCGCGATGAGGCAGCGACCCGCCGCCCGGCCTCCGGCCAGCTCCCAGCTCGGCCTCCCGGCCCTCCGCGGCGGCCCTCCTCTTGGAAAATCTACGGTGCCCGACGACCCGCGACCCCGCGACGAGCCAAAAGAGCGGCCATGGATGCCATTCTGCGCTGTGCGGACAGCGAGACAAGAGGGCGGCCAGCGGCAGACGGCTTTTGACACGATGTCGTCACGTGACGGGGCTGGCTAGGATGAAGAAGTAGTCTATGGAGACTTTATCTCGCAGGTGAAAAGAATTGCGCCAAGTGCCGCATTGCCATTGCTCTTGGAGCCACAAGACACAGACTAAAGCGTGCCACTTCGTCGCTCAAGGGATTGCCTCTTCTTCGTCTACGTGTCTGTAGCTATCTTGTATTGATAGCTCAAGTGGTAACGACGCTTCTGCAAAGCAGAGGGTGCAACGACACCCAGCTGCGAGTGCTACGACCGCTGCATTCTGATGGCCTGAACTCCAAGACAACAGTGACAAGCTGCGCAACCTCGCCACTGCTGAGCCCACCTCCAAGATGTCGGCTTCCAAGCCTTACGCCAGCCAAGCTCGAGTCGAGAGCAATGACGCTTTCATGTACAGTTGAGCGGCTGGGAAAATCATGGTTGCTGCGCAGTTTTCGCCTGGCACTCACGGGAAAAGAAGAAAGCAAGTGCCTTTATCATTCTGTTCGCCGGCCTGGATGAAACACAGTAGACGCGATCGACGCTGTACTCGGAGGCAAAGTAGGTCTGGCAGTGTAGTTCCCGGCACCCCCCAGCCCGAGCACAGCAGCACATTTCGGCAGGGGCCTTGATGCAACTGATGGTTTGCTGCTCGACTCTCTCGCGATCTTCTTTCGGCAATTCACCTCGGAAAAGCACAAAGATTTTGCGAGCAAGAAAGACAGCAACATACAGCGCCGAGGCCACAACACTCGTCTCCATCGTCTCCTGCCGGAGAGGAAGCTCCAGCCGTGGGTTGAGGGACTTTAACAACGAGAAGAAGGACAGGCCGGCTTGGCCTTCCAGCGCTTCCTCCTCACGGAGGATCTCGGATGCAATGTCTATGTCCACCTTGTTCCTGCAGGCGGTCGCGTGATGCAAGCTGAAGCTTTGGAGCTTTGGCTTCTGCGGCATGGGCAGGCCTAACCATAAAGTAGGGGACCTGGTTCACAGCTTTCGAACACACATCTTCCGCAACATCATCCCGTGGCCTCGAACTTCTGAAGCTCTTCCTGAAGGGTCCAATGCAACCCATTGAAACCCCACAGCAGCTGGGACTCTTGAGGCCCCATCGGCAAGCATGAGCTCAGCTTCGGTGAACCGCGAAGAAGTTATCAACAGGACCACATCCTGGCCAAGCTGCGGCTACCCCGAAAGCTTGAGGCTTCCCGGCGCACATAAACCCCGGCGCAAAAGAAGCCGGCCCGGCAAAGTAGCGAATCCCCATGCCTGGCAAAGATGTCAAGGAGGGACCCTTTGTCCCGCGAGATGGCAATACTATAATTCGCAGGAAAGCGGTAGAAACGCCGCTCACGTACTCCGCACTGCCGGTCAGGGAATTAGACGTTACTCTTCCTGGAGAACCTGTGGCCTACATCCTCGGAGGGGTTCGGACGGAAGTGAGCATTGAAGACCTCCGGTCCCGCAAGTCCGAGCTCCCAGCGTCTGAGGTAGGTGGCCTGTGGACACCAAACGTGAGTAGCAGCCAGAGGCAGCGCGGCCTTCTTCCCGAAACTTTTTGGCAAGCACCAAACATGAACTCGAGCGTCCAAGCTGGCCCTGAGAAATACCTACCCTGCATCATTGCACTGAGCATGATGGCATGGGCGGGACCTTGAACTGTTGTGCGGGAGTCTGGTGCACCTTGTCCTTTCTAGGAGCCTGTGCTGCTCAACCGCTCTTACACCTGAATCACGTCACCGTGATCGTGTGCTGCAGGCTTCTGGAAGCAAGAAGGTATGGGATTGGTGTCTCCGAGAACGCGGGCAAGGGAAGCATTCACGCCTTCGCAAAGCTTGTATTGAAGCTTGTCCTTCCTGCCCCTCCAGTTGACTACCCTCACAGAGTCAAAGCTGATGTTTTGGATGGGATAGTCCGCGCTCGAGAAGATGACTCCGGGCTGAAGCTTGGGGTTGTCGATGGTGACATTCTTCAACAAGATGTTCCTGTAGATCCCCCGCTCGGCCGCCTTACAGGTGGCTCCGGGGATGTTTGGCCAGAGCAATGAGCAGGGATGGCCCTGCCAGAAGCGTCGGGAGTCGGATTGCTGCGCAGGGCCGATCCAAATGCCCCACTGCTCCGGCTCTTTCATGTAAATGTTCTCATATGTCACGTCTTCAATCAAGCCGACCTCACCCTCACCAATCTCACGGAACTTCATGTAAATGCCTTTGAAGGTCTTCTCCATGTAGACGTTTCGGAAGGTCACGTTCCTAACTCTGTCGTTACCCCCCTCGGAGCCAATTGTCAAGCCCAAACCACTGGCCTCCACGTTCTCGATGAGAACATTGCTAGAGGATCCTTTCACAGCGAAGCAGTCGTCCTGATTCCAAACTTTGCTGTGGTGGATCCAGATGTTCTTTCCGGACACATCCCAGCCGTCCTGACATGTCATGCGCCTACACTCCAGATGCTGCCCTCTCTCCCCTATGAATTCGACTACTCTTAGTCTTCCCACCAAACACGAAACGAGTTACACGTGAGACGGTTGCGACTTTGTTCTTTGTGCATCGATGGTCATTGACATGACATCGCCAGCTTAAACTCTAGTTTCAGATCATTTCCTGCCTCCAACGTACAGAAGTCTTCCCTCGTTTTTCCGCCAGCGCACGAATGAAACCGAGTTGCGGAGCCTACACAATCCAGTGCTGTCATGTTGATATTTCTTGTTTGCCTACGTGCAGTTTAGTCGTGACTGGGATGGACGACCAAGGCGGTTCCAAAGAAACTCCCACGACTTAAACATGCGCCGACCAGATCGCTATGTCATGTGGGGCCTAAAGACTTGCAGCAGGAATGACAGGAGTGGGTTGGCCCGAATACAATCACGAATTGACGGAAGTCGAGTGTAGCATGACTGTCTTGTCCCGATGAGACGTACAGAATCGGCACCACAGTTGTTCGCATGATTCAGCCGTTGACTCCCGTTTTTCCAGTAAGGCATGAAGGGCAGGTTCCGCAACACTGTCCAGCTCGTGTGTCCTCAATGCTGGAGCTATGGCAGCTATGGCCTGGCAACGCAAAATAATGGCCGCCCCGCCCCTNNCCCCCCCCCCCCCACCCCACCCCCGCAACCTCATCGACATCACGCAAACATAACTCATATAGCCTCTCTCTCCCCGCTACTCCAACGAAACCGCAGCTGAGCAGTATGGTCGTTCCTGTGTGTTAGATATCTCGGACCATGTTGTCACGGGTCGCACACTTGTTTGTCGCTGCTGCTTCTGTCCTTCATGGCCCTCACATGTTCACGCCACCCCCTTTATCAAACTAACCTCTACGAACTCCACAGACAAGCGCTGTCGCACAACGCCAACCTAGCCCAACTTCCTAAAACTCACCAAGACCTCTAGGGGCGATCCGAGACTCGGTATTGAAGGCTCCCAGGTCAAAGAGCCCGTGGCCTTTGTATGCTGATCTCCTGTTCAGAATGTCGGAATATCGAATCTCCAAGCCATCGACTCCGCTAAACCACGTGGTCCAATAGGGCGCATTGGTCAACAACAGGCGCTCTACGAGAACGCCTTGCAGCTGCGACATCTCGAGCAGCCGGGGGCGATTCTCTTGAATCTTCAAATAATCAAGATAGCCCCACCACGCTTTGCCCTGGCCATCCAAAGTGCCTTTGCCAGATGATGTCAGGGTCAAGTTTACAACATTCTCAAAACGGAGGCAGCTTAGCACCCCTCCGCCCGGGTGTCTTGGCCAAGCCTGTTTCCTTGAAGAAAAGATGAGAGACCCATCGATTTGGATGACCACATTCTGCAAAGCTCCGGCAAGGATGCCTCCCATGAGGTGAAAGGACTTCTTAGGGATGAGAAGCGTGTCTCCCGATTGCAAGGAGTTCAATGTCTCGTTTAGCAACCGACCGTTGGACCACTCTGTGGCCTCAGACTCATCCTCGGCCTTGCCACCCACTGCTTCAAAGTCCACCACTCTTGCGCACGTCGGAATCACCCATGTCAAGCATAGTGCAGCTATGCACGGTGTGACCCAACGTCCCCACATGACTGAAGCTCATGCTCGGACAGCTACCTGCGACGGCTGCGGTGCAACAAGGGGCAGCTTGCCTGTGCTCCAGCCTTGCAAAGAATTTCCCAGGCTCCCTTCGTGCCTGGGGAAAGCTCGGCCTTGCAAGCTCCAAAGAACTTGCATCTTCTGGAAGAATCGAAGCCGTCGAAGCCGTAAGCGACCGGCGTGCCAACTCCAGGAAGATCCCAAATCACAACATCCAGCGCGGTGCCAACCACGTGCTTCACATCGACGTCCAGGACCTCACAAGAGGAAGCGGCAAACACGCTGAGAGCAGAGCCGGGGTGCTAAGGCTCGCACTGGGCCTTCATCAAGGCGCACCTGCAAGCAGAACGCCGCCTGCCTTCTGCTGCGCTGCCATTCAGAATGCACCTGGACTGTCTGCTTCTCCTCGCTGACTTTCAGAACTTCGGCACACGACCCCTCGGTCTGACCTTGCAAACTGCCAGCCCGGCTCGCCCAGTCAAGTCTCGACAGCTAGGGGCCCCAACCAGGAACTTGCCCCAGCACCACGCGCACCTGCGAGGATCATTCTTACGGTTTGTTGCGAAAGCCTTGCAAGCCTAGAACGAAGGTACCCTGAAACATGGCAACTCACCAGCAAAGCTCGCTGAGGTCCAAGCACCGGCGTTCAAGTCTTCACCATCTGCGCGAAATGGCTACCCCGAAAACAGACCGCGAAGCGCAAAATGTAGCGACAGCGTCAGCCTCCAAGCTGGCGGTAAAATCGTTGGTTGAAAATGCCTTCACTGGCCGAAAAACTGTACATGGTTGGCTCCATCCTCAGTATTTGCAACACGAGGGAATTGCTTCGCTGTGTGGGTCCACAACTGTTGCCCTCCAGTCTGTTGCAGTTTGAGTGGCGTAGTCTCTTTGACTCCAGTCTCTGCTGCGTTCGCATCGGTGTCCCGGAGCCTGGCAGGCAACGGTGGCACGTTAGCCCAGCTTCTGCAGCCTTGTGTTCGGGGAGCCTCCGGAATGCATTAACCAAGGATGACTTGCCAACACCAGACGCCCCAGTGATGGCAAGCCTCGTGGAGAATTTGGGTTAAATGCTGGAAAAAGAAGGGGCAGAGAGAGAGAGAGAGAGAAATAGCCATAGAGGAGGTTGACAGTACCAGGTCCGCAGCATAATTTTGCCACCTCGGGCTTCAACAGCTACGCGTTTGCACAGTAATATACACACAGCCCCACAGAACTGGCTGTTCCTTGGGCCGTCACTGTTGGCCGCCTCCTTCCCAAGACATGATGACCGGTTTTTGTGCTGCCCTGCNNCCCCCCCCCCCCCCCCCCCCGCTCTGGGCAAGAGGTTCCTCCAAGTAGCCCGGTACTGGATATTGATCTTGATCGTCTGCGGCCGCCTCCTGCGAGTGGACTAAACACGACCGGCTTCGAGTCGTTCGCTTGGTGCCGCCCAGATGCGAGTTCTGCCTCTACCTGCACCAAGCCACGGGCGATGGGTTGATGATGCAGAAAACAGAAAACGCAATAACGCCATGCCCCAAGCAAGGGCCCGTACATTGGAGAGACGCCGAAGGGCCTCTTGGGTGTGCATGAAGTGGCATGACATGTTGGTCGCGGCCATGCACCGTGCCTTCTGGAGCCTTGCACGAGTTGCTGCGCCCTTACCTTCGAGGTCCTCCTTTCTGGCCGCCTTCAAATCTACCAACTTGTGCGATATGCGAACTACAGAACTGCTGTGCGCAGCTGTTCGGGACCATTATTGCCAGTCAAGCGAGCTGAAGTTGGCGCGGGATTTCAGTGCTGCCTCCAGCTCTGCACGAAGCCGTTCGGTTTCCTGCGACGCTGTGCTCAATGCCTTTGACCATCTCTGACCTTCGAAGTCCTGCACCAAGCGCTCTGATGGACCAGGCGCGCTCTTTGGCCGGGTCAAAGCACCGACCAGGGCCTGCTGACAAAACGGCAACGCCGAGCAGAAGCGTCTCTGCAGAAACTGAGACAGGGCACGACGCCGCCGAGAATTGCCTGGCATCTTGTGCTGTTCTCAGGAATCAAAAGAGCTTTCGGCTGATTCTGTCGAAATTCAGCATCTGAGAGTGCGGCGACTTCGGGCACCCCATGCCGCAGGACCTGCCACATGCACTCGAACCGGGTCGAGCCAGGCACCGGCAAAGCCGCAGAGCAAAACTGAGCGGGGAGGCCCGCGTTCCTTGCCGCCGCAGGCCCGACAGGCCTGAGCTAAAGACGCCCTTTCTCAGCGCAGGAAGGGTTCAAACACTGAATCGAAGTTGGGGCGTGCTGTAGGGCCACGACCATGGCCAGTCAAGGACTGCGGAGGAGGAAGGGCATGCCTGGGCCTGAGCCTAGTGCTCCTCAAGGCGCTGGATGCTCCTGGCAGTTTTTTCGCGTGACCCCTGCCAAAGCCAAGGCCTTGGAACTGCCTGGAACTGGACCATACGATGCCGTGCTGCATGGCCTCGGACGGCCGGGTAAATATTTGCATGTCTGTGTCACCGTGTCGACGTTCCATGCTTGCGAGTCGCATACACCTGCCGGAGCCAGCACCCACCATGGCAAGCCAGCCCACCTGAGCGACAGCACCGGAGGTGAGCGATGACACGTTGGTCAAGGCGGCGGGCCGAGACTGCACATCTGCTTCTGCTGCTGGTTGCCTCCAAGCCAAGACCACGGAACATGAGGGAACCAAGGACATAGTTGCCCAGACTGCGTACCCGTGCTCGAACCCTGGGGAAAATGTCTTGGGGAAGCGTTTGGGCAGCTGCAGCGACAGTGAGGACACCTCCTGTTCCAACCGCTAAAGGCGGCCAGCGCAGCCGTTGCTACCGTGGCGGATGCGCTCGACCCGCCCTATTTGAGTGTATTGCGCTCCGCTCCTCCGCAGATGTGGCAACCAAACGCCTTTGTTTGTTCAAAAACATCGTCTCCCCATCCACACTTTCATTTGTGCGAAAGCAAATCCAAGAACACTCTCCAGACAATTATACTGGCTCTGAGACTGGCTCTGGGTTCAGAACAACCGACAAAGCTCTTTTTTGAACCCAGGCTCTGATCCCACACCCGCGCTCCGCCCAAGATGCAACGGCTGACTTTTTCTACTTGCGTCTACCACAATGCATGACAGCAGGGGCTTCTTGAGCTAAGCATGCCATGCAACTGCAGAGGTACAAAGAGTTCAGTTTGAAGAAGCATCACGTTGCCGCGAAGCTCTGCCCTAATTGACCGCTCTGTCTCTGCTTCGCCGCTGCACAAACGAGATTCTACAGTAGCATTGCAGCACGCAGCCTTGATCGGACTCGCAAGGGTTGCGTCCCAAGGCTCCTGGCAAAGAGCTCGGGGTCCTTGGCCAGACAACAATTTCGGATTGACATATCCAGCTATCGTCACCATCCCACAGTGCAGCTGAGTCACGAAGACAAGACTGCATGTTGCTAGCGCAGACGCGTCACCGCATTGACAACATGTGGTCACACAAGATCACGGACGCTGGAGCTGGGAGAAGGCTGCGCGAAGACGGTAGCTATGTGACCCCGGTGCTTCTTCGTGAGGCTATCAAAGCCCTCCACCAGAGTCAGGATGCATGCATCTGGTTTTCGACAGAGGATCGTCCTGCCTTGCAGTCACACGGCAGGTGCATCCTGAGCCTTCATCGTCTACAGTCTACTGCACAGATCGCTGCACTATTGGCTCTTCAATCCAACTTGAAACGCTGAAAAGCCGCTTGCCCGGTGGTTCTTTGTCCGTGGGTTGCGGTGACTAGGCACCTGAAAACTTGCATTAAAGAGTTGTTTGAAACATCACTGCGCACAGGGCCGCCACGGCCCAGTCAATCAATAGTAGACGTCGATGGCAGCAATCTTGAGCTCTCGAGCCAGAAGCGCTTCTGCCCGGGGCAGCACACCACCGTTTTGTGTCTTGCTCACACCATCGACCGTGGAGTATGTCAAACGCTGCGGTGCATCGAGTTCCCAGGTGTTCTTGCGGGCTGCATTGTGATAGGTGACCTTCGTGCAGCCTAGGAACGTGAAGGACACTGTGCCGTCGTCCTTAAACAGCCAGGAAGGCAATGCCGGCTCGAAAGCTAACTCCAGCGACCCAGCTCCGTCTGAGCGGAAAGGCTGCGGGCCGGCAAACATCAAAGTCCACATCGACATCATCTCGGCTGTGGAACCTGAAAGGCGTGCCACGAAGCCGGTCCCGTGAAGCCGCTTGTCGGGCAACGCTGTCGAGGCAAGGAAGGACGAAGCCTCCAATGGAGAGCGGCCATAGCGCTTCACGTCCATGAAAGGCACGAGGCCCGTTTTGATCTCCTCGAAAAACTCCGTGAAAAGGCGGCCCCGAAGCAGTTCCAGCAGATATTTGTAGCTCATGTGTAGCCAGATGGACTCGTTCTCCAGCCAGCCCGGAGGGAACGCGAGCATTCGGCCCAGGGTCAGAGGTTGGCCTTTCAAGGACTCACAGACCTTGTACATCTTCAATGGCGTGTCATAAAGTGGGCTGCTCTTGACCTTCCGGTACACTTCGCGGCAATCTTCGCTGCCTTCCGTGACTTTCAGCTGGCGCACAAAGGCCTCGAGGAAGAGGGGGTACACTGTCGGCATCTCAAATGACAATGGGACGGCAACCTCGCCGCTAGAGTCGCTGTCAACTCTAATCTCTGCCTTGTACGAGAAGTAGCACGGAGTCATGCCTTTTCCAAACTTCAAAGCTCTTCCAATGCCATGCTCCATCTTGGCCACCATCTTGTCCAGCAGAGTCGCAACTCGACTGCTGCTCCATGGCTGCTTGCTGCCGCAGAAGGGTCCCAGAATGCTCTCGTGGTAAACCTCTCGTGCTGTGCTCACTGCGCCCCAATAAGAAAAATCAGCCGATGGCACTTTGCCAGTCGTGATGTTCTGAGACTCAAGCGACGTCAAGCAGTAGTTGCCCAACTGCGCCTCCACCTCCTGCATAAGCGTGTGCATCTCCGTCGGTACCTCGAAGTCCTGCTTTGGGTAGCGCTGGATGACTTTCTTCAAATACTTCAACACTCGCAGAGTTTCATAGCTTTCTGGCATGGTCGACCCGAGAATGCCAGGGAGACCGTTCATCGCATCGTTCCATCCTGGCTTGCCGGTTTCCATCTGGATGCCCATGCCTAGAGGGTCCAGCGTGGCAAACTTCAGAACCCCGACGATCAGCAGCTTGGACCCAACCTCACGTGGGAAATCTAGCTTTCCAGGCTTTCCACGACGCCGCAGGACAGCGCCAGCGGGTGAGAAGACATGCGAAGTCTGAAAGCCGAGACACGAAAGTGTTGACAAGGACGATAACCACCACGAACAACAACCAATGGCAGCCAACAATCAACAAGAGCGATCCTTCAGCAACAACGGCAGTAACAACCTTTTGGTTAGCTGCATCTTTTGCTGGTTATCTGCATCTTGTTTTGCTTGCTTTTCTGGGACCTGCCATGACCCGGATGTCCACGATGAGCTGCGACCAAGACGACCACGACGACGACAACGACGACATTGAATCCCACGACGACAACGCTGACGCCGGCAGCACTGCCAGCGCAACCGCCACAGGAGCCGCGGCCGCCGCAGCCCAAAGCGACAACAACGATGGCAATAAGACCGGTGGCCATTACATAGGCGGGGTTGACGATGAATCTGACTGTGATTTAGTCTGATGGTGATCTTGGTGGATGTTGGCAGCAAAGGTCAAGCTGGCATCGACCTTCGTGTTGCCTTTGCATGCCGTTATGCTGATCGCGCGCGATATGCAGTTGCATTCAGAAACGGGCACAATAGCTGAATAAGGTGAGATTGGATGATGGCCAGGTAGTTAAAGCCTAGTCCACTCGGCGCCATGCAAAGCTGTAACCGAGAATCGGGCTGAGACGACCATGGGGTTTCCTGTAGCGTCGAGGTGCCACGCGTTGTTGTTGCCAAGTGGGTCTTCGACATAACCGTTCCCACTGCGGGCCGCCGTGATCAGCTGTTCTCGAGGCTTTGCGATGTTCGCCCCATCCAAAACAGCATCCACCTGGATCACCGTCCCGTCGCTGAGCTTTCTGTACTTCTTGGAACGTGGCTGCACTGTGGAAGGTGAGAGGAAGAAGGGGATGGGCTCCAGGCCGAACAGAAGCTCGAGTTCCTTATCCGGGTAAATGGTGAGGAAATTGTCCAATAGATCCATGTTGTACGTCCAATGGTCCGACCAGAAGCCGTTCTGGTTGTACTTCGCCACCGGCACTTCTTGGGCCTCCCGTGCCAAAAGGTGGAGGAACTGCTCGCGCGAGAGAGTGCTGCCGATCTTCTCCAGACTGCACCCTTGCTTCTCCATGGCCTTGACCAGGCCAGCACATATGCATCCCGGAGCACTTCGTGTACTTGCATCTTCAATGTGCTACACCAAGTGTTTCTACCACACAGCTCAGCGACCTACATACAGCTGACACCGAGCGAGAACATGTTTGCGAAACTCGCCGTAGCTTCTCAGCTGACCCAAACCCAAGGATGCGCGTCAAAGAAAGCTGTGTGAGCTCGAATGTTTCGCCGGATTTAGTTGGTATCCCCCGAGATGCGCTGGCAGTGCCAAGGCTTGAGTCGTGTGAGGCATTTCGTGGTGACTTGTGGGCCGGCTGAACATTCGCTCTGAAGGTTCTCCGAAGAGGAAGAAGGATCGATGTGTGAAACACTGCATGTGGGACCAAATGTATGTATCGCTGTACAGTCACCTAATAGTTGCGGCTGGTGCTGCTGTAACTATTATCGTCGTCGTCTCTGTGTCGTTGTTGTCGTCGCCAATCGCCGATCGCCGTCGGCGTCATCATCGTTGCCGGCCGTGGCTGGTGCTGCTGGTGCTGCTGGTGTTGCTGGTGCTGCTGGTGCTGCTGGTGCTGCTGGTGCTGCTGGTGCTGCTGGTGCTGCTGGTGCTGCTGGTGCTGCTGGTACTGCTGGTGCTGCT